TACTGATACAGTGTTTGGACCGATCGCTCCTGTTGTATGCCTGCTGTCTACCCTGCTGTCCCCCCGTCCTGCCCCTCACTGGCTCCATGGAGTTCCCTTACCCCCTGTTTACCCTGCACAAACTGGGATCACATGCTTTCCTGTTTATTCTGGTAATGGTAACCATGATCACTTTAACAAACATACTTAACAAATCTAAAGTTTGAGGTCATTTATGATTTATCCCGACTTTCTAGATGTTTGGTAATGGAAGGGACTTTAGGCTCTCTCAGTGGTAACACTGTACCAAGTGGGAGGCCCCACCTACTCATCCACCTACTAGAATCTGGCTTCTTCCTCCAAAATTGTTCCACCAAAGTTACAAACGATCTGCACTTGGAGATCACTTTTAGACCTGGTTTTGATTAAACTCTCTGAAACTGCTGGCCATGCTGACCACGTCCTTCTCTGTGAAATGACCTTTCCCTCTGCTTCCATAACAAAATTCTTCTAGCTTCCCTCCCGCCCTGCTGGCCACTGCTTTTGGTCTCCTTTACTTGCCCAGGTCCTCTCCCACCTACCTGTGAGGCTGTGGCGATCCTGGGTCCCTGCCCAGGCTGCCCCTCCTTTCTAGCCCTTCCTGTCCTCATCCGCGGCTCCAAGTACGAGTTACGCATCAGCACCTCCTCAGCTGACACCCCAGCCACATCCCTGCTCCCAGGTTCGGGATTGTAGCTCCTGCTGCCCCTGGACCGCCTCACTGGGGCTGTCACTCTTCACACTGGGCCTGCCCATCCTCTTTCCCTGAGACCGTTGCTCCTTCAAAGGTCCCCCACCTCAGCAGGCAGCCCGACCACTCCGTCATTTGACACGAAACTCTCAGGACTCATTCTTGTCTGTGTCCTCGCCCTCGGCCCTCAAGGCCGTCACACAAGTGTGTCAAGTAAACAGAAATAGAGCTCAGATCTGTGCACTTGTGTCCAGTCCCATGGCTACAGCCCTGAACTAGCCAGTCCTTATTCTGGGACCACTGAACAGCCCCTAACTGGTCTCTCAGTGTCCGTTCTCTCCTCCCCTCCCGTCTGTACGCGTGGCTGGAGTGACTTCTCTGAGGCGTGAACCCCTGTTGCTCTGGGAGGGTCCCACTGCCCTCAGGGCGAACGTGATTCCTCGTGGCTTCCAAGGCCCTCCCTGAGCTGGCCTTTCCCGACTCGGCTGGGACCCTTCTCTCCAGCCACACAGAGCTTCACATTCTGCCAGCTTCTCAGGAGCTCTGCACGCTCGTTTCATTCCCGGCCTTCCCACCCACCTCCTCGCACGCAGAACCCTCCCCTGCCCTCCCCCATGCCAGCTCCTGCTCCCTCACCAGATTTTTACTTAAATCTCATTCTTCAAGGAAGCCTTAGTAAACTGCAGTGGTGGACTGAATTATGCACCCCGCATCCAGATGTTCAGGCCCTAGCCCCCAGTTTGACATATTTGGAGATAGGGCCTTTAAAGACTCAATCAAGGTTAAACAGGTCATGTGGGTGGGGCTGTAGGCCACTTGGACTGATGTCCTTCTAAGAGGAGGCAGAGACACCAGGGATGCGCACGGAGAAAAGGCCGTGTGAGGACGGGAGAAGGTGGAGGTCTGCAAGCCAAGGGGTGCTCAAGAGACAGCAGCCCTGCTGACACCCTGACCTAGGCCTTCCCCCCAGAACTGTGAGAAAATAAACACCTGCTTCAACCAGCCAGTGTGCAGTGTCTGTTCTGGCAGCCCAGACAGACTCATCTGACTCCCTAAACTGAGCGAGCTTCCCTTGCGCTTTGCACATCTCTTGTATCGCACGTCACACTTGAAATTACTTTCCCAAGGGGCTGCAGAGGATATGAAGGACGGCGATTCTTGTGTATCACTTCTGTGGTCTCCAGGGCCTAGCAGTGCTCAGTACGTAGCAGGGGCATCTACGCATGTGCTTACAGGAATCCAAATTATAAGTCAAATGATAAATTCAGCTCCTTAGCGGCACCAGCCACATGTAACTATTGGTTACCACAGAGGACAGTGCGGACAGAGAACGTCCCATCACCACAGCCGGGCGGCGCGGGTACGAATGCCGAGTGAGCCTGAGCGTGAAGGAGAGTCCGCACGGCCCGGGGAGGCGGCGGAGCGGGCGTGGGGGCCGGGGAGCTGGCGGCCGCTCCCGTGAGGTGAGGAGAAGGGCAGGGAGGACAGAGGTCCTGGTGAGAGCTTGAGAGCTATTGTGACTAGAGAGAGGAGGCAAGCAGAGAGAGTCTGGGTCGGATCTGCATTTGAGACACATTACCCTGTGGGGAGCACAGGCCTGGAGGCAGGAGGGACAGTCAGGGGGTGGTGACAGAGTCTGGTAAGAGAGCCAGAGCCAAGGGAGGGGGGAGAGGACCGAGCCGGGGACAGAGGCCAGACTTGATGACTGGCCCACTTCCGAGCAGAGGGCCAGGAGGAGTCCGACGGGACGTGTGGATTTCTGGGTGGTGGTGCCACCAAGGGGAAGGCAGAGGAAGCAGATTTATTTGGAAAGTGGACAGACAGGTGAAGAGAAAATCGGCCCGACTTGGACACACAAAGTGTGGTGTTTGAGGGCTACAGGGGGTGTGACAGAGGGCATAGAGGCTGGGGCTCCGAGAAGGCTGGTGGCAACTGAGACGTGCGGGTCCTCGGCAAACAGGTGGCAGTTAAAACCATGCGCTTGGACTAGACTGCTCGAAGGTGGGGGGAGTGGTGGGCCAAGGCCAGACGCCACAGAACATTCGGGGGAGCACTGAGAGGAGGCCCGCTGTGAGCACAAAGAACTCGTCATGGATGCACCCTCTATCAAGTCGCCCCGACTCTGTTCAAGGCCACTGCCTGGACCCAGGCAGCCTGCTGGAAGCAGAGGGTCGGCAGAGCCCATCTGACACGCGAGGCTTGTCTGGTCGCTGGCTGGCTTGTTTCTGTCATTGAACAAGGCCCTGAAGTTGGAACAGGACATGGCTGCTGCTTTGGAATCTCTTGGATGTGACCTGTGGGATCAGAGTACGTCCTTCAGATCCCGCCTGTCTGAACTGGGAGAGGGTTTTCTGCCTGCACGGAGAGAGACAGGGTCACGACAGCCGGGAGCCGTCCATGTGACCTGATGGACCCGGAGGGAAAGCCACTTGGTTTCTCCTCAGCGGCTCAAAGACAGCAATGGCTCTGCCCTAAAACATGAGGGACCCCAGCTGACCAAAGGGACTCCTGAGTGGTCACCAAGGAGAGAGCGAGGCACCCTGGCAATGGGGGGATAGCAGCTCCCTTTGACCTGACTCTGCATGGAAGGGACAAAACATGGAGGACAGCTGCCAGCCTGAATTCGGCCTGAACGTTAACAGCTTCCCCGATGCCAATTAGCAGCCAGAAAGTACAATCCCTGGGCTCTAATATGACTTGCTTCTCAATACGCTTTCTGTTTAATTTCAATTACATTTTTTCTTAGAGCTGTAAACCTGTCAGGCAGCCCAGGCACTGACTTACAGTAATCATTTCTCTTTTTAGTAGCTCCACCTCTCTAAAGTAGAATTTAATTTGTTTATGATTTACTGGTACTTACTGATTTCATCCACGTTTTTAAGAAATTTCTCTAAGTCTCTCTCTTGATCACCGGCCATCGTAAACCAGAATCCCTGAGGAAGGCAGCATAAATGATGAAAGTTAAGAATAACAAACCACTAAAAAATTCGTCAGGCTTATTAGCCTTCTTTAACCAAGCCAAGTGATTATTTTTAAGGCAGATTTGTGCTTATGACTGTCAAGAATAACAGCAGGGGGATCATTTCACTCTGACTGCTGTGAAGGCCGAGAGACGCTCATTAGCCGGGGCGATACTTCCGTGAAGAGCCAGGCCCCCCTCCACTGGGGAAACACCGCAATTGTTCCGCCAATGCCCAGATCACCCGGCGACTCAGGGACCTGGGCGGAGACGGGGAGGCGGGCAGCTGGCAGGTGGCTGGATCAGAGGACGCCAGCCCCTGACTTTGATCATGACCCTGCCAGGCTGGCCCAGCTGGACGCTCACACCTGGCTGGGTAACAGGTAATCAGAAATGGGGCAATTTGCACTTAATGTCCCAACTCGTTTAAAATATAAGCCTCTGGCTCGCTCCTGGGGAGTGAAGAGAAGCGGCTGGCTGGCTGAACTCGACGGCAGTGCACCACGGCACCCCTCTTGGTACTTTAGACTCGACACCTCCGGGTCGGAGGGAGGGAGGGCGTCGTGGTGCGCCCACCGGTCCCCAAAGCTCAAGCACAGACCCCAGAACCGTCCAAAAAGTTGTTACTGCGTTTCTGAGTCGGTAACCCTGGAAGGTGCCCAGCCAGGCGTCGGGCGAGCCCTGCACGCGGCCCGAGGGACGCCGGTGTAGCAGCGCGGCCGGGGACGCGCCTGCGCCTGGGAATCTGCAACGGGCCGCGAACAGGCCGCACGGAGCACGGGGGGTGCGCGCTCGGCGGCAGTCCCGCCCCGGGGCCTCGCGCTTCCCCCGAAACGGTAACGCGGCGGGCGCCCCCGGGGGCGCGGTACCCGGCGCGCAGCGACTGGACACCGGGGCGCCGCCACCCACAGCACCGCAGGGCCGGGGCCGGAGCCCAAGGCAACGGCCGCGACAGGACGCGGAACCGGGCGCAGGGACGCCGCGCGCTGCACCCGGAGGAGGCCCGCGGGCCGCGAGAGGCGGCGACCGCGCCGTTGCCCGGCAACCGCCACAGCGTCCCCCGGCCCGGGCCCGCCCGGAGCTCCCCGCGCAGCCGATCCCGCCCCACCTGCCGGGACCAAGGCAGCGTCCCTTCCTCGGCTCCGACGGCCAGAGCAGGACGGGCCCAGGACGGACTCCGAGCCGGCCCGCCGCACTGACCTGAGGGGCCCGGGTGGACGGGAAATGGCGGCTGCGGGCGGTGGGGGCGGGGACGTCGTGGGCGTGGCCACCGGGGGCTAGGGGGCGGGGCGGGGCAGGAGGGGGCGGAGCCGGGCTGGGCGGGTCCGCAGGTGGGCGCGGCCGTGCGCTCTAGTTCCAAGCACCCCTAAATTCCTTTTAGAGCCGCGGTCGGGGATACGTGTGCGCCGCCCGGTTACCTGCGCCGACCTGGGATGAAGGGCATGGACGCAAAACAGGGAATTTGAGCTGAGACGGAAGGGGCGAGCGCGCAGCGACCAGCTGCAGAGAGAGGCGGAAGCAAAGCGGACGGACGGCCCGGGCCGTCGGGAAGGAGCCCGGTACGGACCCGGGAGCGCAGGGGGCCAAGCGGGCTGCGGCCCAGAGAGCGAAAGGAAGGGTTGTGATGAAGCAGGGCCGGGCACACGGGCTTTTAGGAGGCTCTGGGTCTTCGTCCTAAGTACCATGGGCGGTTTTCAGGGGTGTTAGTAGAAGAGTGACAAGCTTAGATTTTTTTTTTAAAAGAAAATAATCCTAGCTGCAGTGTGGAGCATGGTCTGGAAGGAGGAAAGAGGGACACTATGGGAGGTAAGTTAGGAGGTGTTGGCAGTGGGTATTGGTAAGGGGAATAGAGAGGATTAGATGAATTTGAGGTATATTTTTGGAGGGAGAATTGACATAAGGGAAATAGCCACAGTGGCATTCAGGTTCTGGCTTGGGCCAGAATGGGGCTCTTCCTTGGCTGAGGTAGAGAAGTTCGGAGGTTTGGCATAATTAGTTCAAGATGCTGATGAATTATTCAAGTGTAGATGTTGAATAAATTGATAATTGTCCCTTAATATTTATTCTCCTCTTCTTCAGATGCCCCAGTTTTCAGCAAGGTGCAAGGCAACTGCCATAGACTGTATTTCCCAGCTTCCCTTACACAAAACTAAGCTTTGGCCAATTAGATGTAAGCAGAAGTAGTTGGTGATACCTCTGGAAAGTGCACTAATAAAGGATTCCCTTCTCCTTATCTCTTCTTCTGATTGGCTGGAATGTAGACAAATGGCTGGAGCCAGATGGGCCATTTTGGGCCGTGAGGTAGAAGCGGAACATGGGATGGAAAGCCACAGGGTACAAGGAGTCTGGTGTCCAGTGATCGTGGAGCTCCCCGCTTTTGGACTTCTTAACTCCACGTTTCTACATGGGAAAGCAGTTTAGTCTCAGTAACGTGGGGTTTTGGGACGGTAAAGACTTGCATGTTGTTTAAGTCACAGTTCTGTTGGGTTTTCTGTCACTTGCACACAAGCCTAATGTTAATTGATATGGAAGGCACTAGTCATTAATTCAACTCACATTTTTTTAAAGTTGGTATCTAATTTTTGTCATCACAAGCCCAAATAGTCCAAGTAATGTTATGCTGGCATAATGGAAATATTGATATTTAAAAATAAAACACATCAATATTTAAATACATTTTAAACACCAGACCAATTTAACTCTAAACATTGAGATCACACTATTAAGAAGCACATGAATAATGGTTTCGTGATGTCAGAAGTTATTTTTTCCTCCTTGAAGTCGTATTTCCAGTCTGCACCCTCAGAATACCATCCTAGTAGAGGATCTTATGCTTGAGTGCCTGTCACTGACCAGCCCATCATAATTCTCTGCCACAGAAGCACCAGCAGGTATTGCTGGAATGTTCGCTTTAGCCAGAGACCATACCGCAAGCCAGGTGCGTGGCCCCTGCCCTCAATGAACTCACAGTCTAAAGCCAGATAAACAAATAAGGATCGAGCAGTTTGAGGACAGTGACTCTTTAGTGCTTAAGAGGAAGGAGGAGGAGGACATGGCAGGAGGTGAGGCCCCCCAGGAATCAGAATTTACGTGACTGATGTGGAAGCTGAGAGCTCCAGGTACAGGGGACAGAACGGGCCAGCTTCGAGGCAGGAGAAGTGCCATGTGTGAGAAGCAGAAAATTTAAGTGAAGGTGGTGAGAGATGAGCCTGGGGCTGTGGGTGGGCCCAGAGCATCGGGGAGGGAGGTACAGGAGGGGAGTGCGGAGCCAGGCAGGGCCTGGGCAGGAGGCAGGGGAGATACCTGGGCAGGAGGGGCGGGAGAGAGGGGTGGGTGTGTCAGCACCTCGGCCAAGCTCAGAACAGCAGAGTAACAACCCTCCGCAGCCACAGACACCGGTGGCATCCGAAGAAGTCACTTCTGTCTTGATGTCTCCTACACGGATCTCTGTCAAGATCTAACCCTATAAATCCAACGGGCTAGCTAGGCAAGGGATCCCTTGGGAGTGGGAGTTTTGTTTGGTTTTGCCTTATTCCGAGCACCTGGCGCTGAGCCAGTGCTAAATGAGGACACGCTGATTCAGTGAGGTCATCTCCTGGTCTGCGTGGAGGAAGGGTCAAACCCGTTATTCCAGATGGAAAAGGAATAAGGGTGTTTATAGTTGCCCAGTCTTCCCAGAGAAATCCACCCTAGAGGACCAACACTGTTGCTGTCCCAAAATACATTTTTGGGGAAATCTTGTACTTGACTGGTCGATTATTGTAAAATGTAAAAAATCCTCGTAGGCCCCTGGGGTCACTGGGCTTCCCACAAAGATTCCAGTTTTCCTCCTTCCAGCCACACGGAGGGGCTCAGTTCCTGTTGCCAGGTGCTTGCTTTGTTTCGTGTGGCCAGGGAAGACATGCACGGGGCAGAAGCCTCTGGGAGCCGCGTGTGACTCACCATATGGGGCCGGGCCTTCCCCGGCCCCAGCAACCAGGGCAGGGGCCGTGGCTGCCTGACCCCGAGGGAGGGGACATGGACCTGGGACACCTGTGTACTGCTGGTGGGCATGCAGCATGAATGGACTATGGGCCTTCCATGTCTTGGCTTGTTGTGAAGCAGCCCAGGGTCTAATGGACACTCAGAGTGTTGGTCTCACTTGCTACAGTGGCCAAATCCAGGGTGTGCCTGTGGGTATGATCGCCCTTATGCTGTGCCACCCGCTGTGCCAGGCAGCCTGCATCTTCACACCTGTCAGACACCCAGAGAAAACGGGCCCTGAAAACAGGTGACTCACATTTCAAAGCTGTTCCTCCCAGGGTCCTCCTGTCCCGGTCGCTACTTCCGCCCTTCCTGCCTCCCTGGGTGGTACTCAAATTTTACTTTTGCTTTATGTCCTCCATAAACATTGGAGAACTCTTGGGCACCTTCCCCGGGATGGTAAATCTGAGACTCGGGGATTTATTATAAGCCATCGCTCCTCCGTTTTACTCGGCTCTGCCTTTTATGTAAACAATTCCCGCTCTTTGCCTTTTCTCATCAATCATACTTTACAAGAAAGATAAAGAAGAAAAATAAATTTCCTTTTCCCACAACAACTGCATGAGGAATAAAGAGAGCCCACCTTTGCCTGCCGCTGATTTAAAGGAGGAGAAACCTGGAGGGATTCAGCACCGTCTCTTCCCTCCTAAAAGGGATTTTAAAACCAACATTGATTCTTTCCCTAAACACATGTCCTTTCATTTTAAAAAAGGTTCCTAAGACTCTTGCCTACTGGACCCATCTTTGTTCTTCAGTTCCCATCTTACTATGGATGAAGAAACAATTCCAGGATCTCGTCCCAGACGGAGTCTGTGTGCCCACAGAGGGCAGGAGTCAGCCTTGAAATTTCAATGGGCGACCAGCAACCCACCAGCATTAACAGCGGCCATGGCAACAGTGATGATGTCGGGGGTGGGGTGGGGGGGCTCAGTCTCCGATACGCATCATCTAACTTAAATCTGTCAGCAGCCCTGTGAGTTTCATTCCTGTTCCACAGATGAAAACATGCAGTCGGGGGGCCGCCAAGCTGTGAACCCGGTCTGAGTGTCCCCCCAGCTCACACAGCCCGTCTATCTCACCACACCGCCTCCCGAGAACCGCCGGCCCCCAAGCAGCTCTGTTTCAAACTACGGTCCATGACCATCCCGGGGACTCCAGCTCAGCCTGCGGGCGTATCAACCTCCACACTGGGCGCTCCAACTGCCTCCAACCCTCCAAAGGAATGGCTGCATCTTTCCTGTGGCCTGAGGGCCTCGACCCCTGCCCCACGAGGAAGGACAGGGCCACTCCAGCCTGTCTGTGGGCCACAGGACCCCCCTGCCCCGACAGCAAGGGGAGTCAGGATTTCACTCCACCTGGCGCGGGGCAGCACTGCCACCGTGTGGCGAAACGACCCTGGAGGCAGAGACAGGCTGGAGGGACCTGCCGACTGCCAGCCGGCCGGCCCGGCGCCTGCTTCTGTCTGTTGAGGGCCTACTGTGCGTCGTGTACTCAGCTAGGCTGTTTCTATTGCTGCTGCTGCTCAGATTCCTTCTCTGGGTGGTGAATTAAGTGACATCAATGACCTAGACGGTAGCAAATGTTTAATATCTATTCACCATTTATTTGGGGCACTCTCATGTAGGGGTGACTCACACCACTCAGAATGATGAAGCTGTGTCAGCTTTGTGCAGTGGGATTTTCTTTGTCCCCTGGGTTTTGAGGACAAAAGGCCACATGGAGAAATACAGGGCTCCTGACCTGTTTGCTGTCCTGGTATGAGCTCCATCTCAATTGTCATGAAATTGTGAGGATATTATTTCTAGCCAATGCCTTTGCTTCATTTTTTATTAGCAGTTTAATAGTATATTAAAAGTATATCCTAGAGACTTAGAAAATAGAGAAAAACAGACATTCATGGTCACTTCACATAATACCACCACTATCTAAAGGATGCATTTCTCTTTTTCTGCATTTATGTGCAATGATATAACCATGCCTACAATTGATCAATGTTTTACTTTTTTGGAAAGCTATACCATTATCATCACAATGGTAATAGCTGATACAGTCTGATCGCCCCTGATCCTCTGAAGTCCTATAACAATCTCAGGAGGCAGTATTATCAATCCCTTTTTAATAGACAAGAAACTGAGGCTCAGAGGGATCCGTGCCTGATTGCCTTGCAGAGTCTGTGCCTCACCCGTGCATGTTTCTGTGACAGCCACTTAGTATCTGCCTCGCATCCCCCTCATCCACTCACTGTCCTTCCTCTGAATGGGTGATACTGTTCCAGTCTCTGGTTGCTGCTAATGTTTTGTTCTGCTGCACATATTGCTACAGCAAGCATCCCTAAATATAACTGTTTCTGTATCTGGGATTCATTTCTTAGGGCAGCTCCTCAGAAGTGGTTTTCTCAATCAAGATGTTGAACTTTTTATAGTTGTATTTCCAAACTGCTTCTCAGTGGGGCTGCACAAATTTGTGCACACTAGCCCTGCAAGCAGTAATGTCTGAGGGTGCCAACCTCACCCTCATGAACCTCAGTGCCAATTTTTTCTAATGCACAAGATGACAAATGGCCTGACACATAAATAGGTGAGCCATCCATTATTTTCATGTTGCTCATTATTAGAGAGGATGAAATCCCTTTTATTTCTCACCACGTGCCCTGGTGTTTTCCACCTTCTTTCCACAGTTCCAGACATCTCTGCTGCCATGGAGCCTCCTAAATCAGCTGTTCTTAATCTGGCATCCAGGGACCTGGATAAAATCAAGGGGCATGTGAACCTGTCTGGGGAAAAAACTGTGTTCATTTCTACAGACGTGTCACTGGAATAGCACCTTCCTGTGTCAGTGTAGCCAACAGCACAGTGGTGTGAGCAGCAGCTGTGATGCCACTTACGCCACTACAGTTATTAGACACTCTGCTAGAACTTGTTTTGATGCATTAATAGACACATTTATTATCACATCACAAATTTGTTTATACAATTTTGATGATTGTTTTTCAATTTAAGTGTTTTCTTTTGTTACCCCACTTATTTTATTCCTTTAATAAATGCATTAAATATTAACATGCTATTCTGAGAGGAGGTCCGTAGGCTTCGTAAGACTACCCATGGGGTCAGAGCAAAGCACAGCTGGAAACTCCTGTTCTCTACGCCTTTGTTGTAGAAGAATCCCAAGTAACAAATGTAGATCCTCCCACTCCAGGGAGTGGAAGCCAATCCTTCTACCCTCGTGTTCACTAGCCTTAGTGATTCGCATCTCAAGAGCTGCACGTGGGAAAGGGAAACAGGAGCTCACAGTGGAGAAACCTGCAGACACCACCTTCTCCAAGTGGCCAAGGTCATCGTGACCCGTGAGAGGTCACAGGGATGTAACGTGTCCCTGCATGATGAGACGAACAGGGCCCTTTACCTCGTGACATTCCTCCCCCCAGATCCATAACCCTGCTGAAGTCATGGGAAAATGGACAACCCAAATCCAGGGACGTTCTCCAAAACACCCGGTGAGTACCCTTCAAAAGTGTCAAAGTCATGGACAACATGGAAAGACTAGAGGAGGCTAAGGAGACACAGGCTGCGTGCACCTGGGGTGGATCCCAGCCCAGAAGGATGCTGGTAGGAAAACTGGTGTCACCTAAATGAAGTCTGGTTAGGTTAGTAGCACTGTGCCGGTGTGAAGCCTCTAGTTCTGACAAACCTACTCCGGTTACATAAGATGCTAACAGTAGAGGAAGCCGGTTATGCAGGAATCCTCTCTACTGTCCATTCTGTAAATCTAATGTAAAAAAACAACTCATGTCCCAAAGCAATCTCTCCTCCCAACTCTGGGTTCTTCCATTCAATACACACTGGAGCGCCACTGTGGCCCCGGCGCTGGGCAGGGGTTTGGGGGCCGCCGGGAGATGGTGGGAGCTTTCAGCCTGCCCTACAGACCCACACAGCCTGCAGGCAGCTAGGAAGCAGAGGAGAAGATGTGTACAGTGGGCGACACCAGCCCGGGAGAGGAGAGGGCAGTAGAGATCTGTCAGCCACAGCGGGATGGAGAGCGGGACGAAGGGCCAGGAAACCGCGAGAGGCTCTCGCCGACAGGAGCGGCACTCGGGAGCCCAGACAGGGAGGGAGGTGCGGGCATCCCAGGGGCTTAGACTTCACTCTGAGGGGAAACCCGGAGCCCTGAGCAAGCCCGTCCCAGCCGCACTGCAGGCAGAGCGGAGAGGACGGCCCCGGGCCCTTCTGCTCCGAGTCCTGGGACGTTCCCAGGGTCTGGGCCTGTGGCCTGCACACCCTCCGCCTCCTCGCCTGAGCGCCCTGCCGCCTGGGACGGAGCAACTCCCTGCGGAGACGGCTCTGCAGGGAGGCGCTCACACCCTCCCCTCGGCTCTCACACCGGACTCCTTGGCCCAGCGGTGCCCAGCCCAGCCCCTTGCCCATGGGTGGAGAAGTAGCAGCAATTACAGATGAGGGCCTAACTGGGCCTGTGCTTGTGTACATGGACAGGGGGAAACAGGTACAAGAGCAGCTAAGCAGGGCAAATCAACCAAAAACACGGCCTTGAGGAAGTGAGAAGGGAGAGCGGGGAAGGATCTGGGGCTGATGCCCGCTACCTGGCCCAGAGAAGCGAGCGGACAGGTGGCCATGTCCTTCTGCACAGCTGGGACCAGGAAGAGGAGGAGAGGTGAGGAAGGCATGGTGCGCAGCTTCGATGGGTTGAGTTCAAGATGCTGGGGAAAGGGTTGTCTATCTCCTTGTGGGCTTTGGAAGAAAAGTCTGGGATGGAGGTGAAGATGTGAGGTTTTCAGCATATTTTCAGGATCCTGCAGCAATGGGACACACATAGGCATCCTCACACATACGCGCGGGTGGCTGCGTCCCTTAAGCCAGCTTTCGCGGTGAGGAGACAGATCTGGGTTCTAGTCGTGCCGCTCACCGTCTGCATCAGGGGCCCCAGGGGAACGACCAATAGGAGAGGATTCAGAGCTAGACACAGACGTAGATGTGACTATAGATAGGTAGGGATAGAAGATAGATGATAGACAGACAGACAAAGTACTCCAGAGACAACAGGGACGCGTACGCAGGACACAGAAGCCAGCTGGAACGGCTCCCTCCGTGTGGCCAGACAGCATCAAAATAAATGAGAGTAACAATCCACTGGAAAAAATAGAAAACCATCAGTCTACACTGATACAAAGAAAGAATAAACTGATTGTAAGTTTGATGAGGCATGGGATATTTACAAATTTTTTAAGGACTCCCCCACATATGAAGCCCTCAATTAATGACATTTACCCCACTGATGAACCAATGCTTACTGACTACAAAGGGCAACAGGGGGAGCTTCACAGTGGATCAGCTTGGCAGACACCACCACTTTAATCAGATGATCAAAGCGGACACCATCACACCGGAGAACGGAAACTGTGTGCCACCTTATAGGACACAATGAAAGGAGCCCATTACCACCTTATGACATCCCTATCAAAGAGGCATGGCCTGAATTTAATTGTGAGAAAATTTCAGGCAAATCAAAATCAAGGAACAATCTACAAAGGGCCTGGAGTCTTCAAAAATCCCAAGATCACCATACATGACAAAGGGCAGACCTTCCAGACTGAAGGAGACTAGAGGCATGAAACGAACTGAAATCTGTGTTCCTGGAGTGACTGGTGGACACACAAAAATAATTTCACTTTTGCTTTGAAGATCTTTAGTGTAACAAGGAGAGAATTTGAGTAAGGACTGCAGATTAAATAATAGTATTGTATCTATGTTAATTTCCTGATTTTGAAATTGATTGTGGTTAGGCAGGGGAGGACATTAAAATCATGTCCTTGACTGTAGGAAATAGTAAAATATTTGTAGATCGTGGGACATGAAGAAGTTAGAAACTAATCTTCAAATGGTTCAGTAAAAAGGAAGTTTTTTGCATTGTACTTTCACCTTTTATGTATGTTTTTGAGGATGACTGGGAGGAGCTGCGACTGTTTCTTGTGCCCACTTTTTTCATCTAGTGAAATATCGTGGCAAGTTTTCTCAGTCTAACGTCCGAAGTAGAACTGAGGTTTCCGCCCCGAAGTGTGTCTCCTTCCTGCCCCAGAAGGTGGAGCAGACGCCCTCTTGCTCCAAACACAAAGCCCGGCAGCCATCCGCGTTGCCCTCCTTCCAACCCCCGCCCGATCCCCCGCAAGTCCCGCCAAGGCCACGTGGGCAGCGGATCTCGGGCCCGTTCACGTTCTCTGATCCGAGCCCCCGCCTCTGTGGGCCTGCGGGGACGCGCGCCGAGGTCTGCGGGAGGCAGCCGCCTCCGGGCGCCGCGGCGGGGTGGCGGGCCTTGCCCGGAGGAGCGCGGGGCGCGCGGGCGCTCACGGAGCCCCGTGCACGCGTCCATCGCGGCCGTGACTGCCAGGTGTCCATGGGAGGTAAGGAGCTGCACCGCTTCCGCCATCAGACCCCACACGTGCTCTGGGCCCCTCGAATCAGAACCAGACGGGAAGGGGGTTGTGGGGGACGCCCCGCCGAAACCGGGCTGGCGGAGTGCGTGCCCTCGCGCCTCCCTGACCGCCCACACCTCAAACAGTCCCCTGGGCGCCTCCCTGGGCCGCAGAGGGACGGGGCGCCCGGACTCTCGCGGCCCCGACGGGCAGCTGCTGCGCCTGTGCGCCCAGGACGGTGCCTCCCAAGCGCGCGGGCCCGGCCAGCCCTGCCCGTCACCCGCACCGCCCGGGGCCGCCCACCGCTGCCTCGGCTTCGACACTGTTTCTGCATCTGTTGCTTCCAACACCCTCCTGCCCCTTCTAATTTCTTTTGTTAAGTAAGAATTAATAGGATTCTTTTGGTTCTGAGTTAAAAAGAAAAGAAGGAAAACCTCCCAGACAGACGAAAGTAAAGGGGCTACATTGGTCCGTGGACTGGAAGCGCCCGGAGACCCTTCCAGGCGCGCCTGGTCCTCGCGTCGGTCCCTCCCGCCGGGGCGGCGCCCGCAGACGCGGGAATTCCCTTCCCACGGGTCCAGCGAGAACGGTTCCTTTCTGCCCATCGTTTGGGTGACGGTCTTTGGGGGAGAGGGACTCCCCTCCCCAAAATAGGGTGAGAGGAGAAAGGCGCACGGACGTCGGCGGCCAACGCGCTCCTGGCGGGCCTGCCGGGGCCGAAGGCCGGCCCCGGGGCCCCGGCGCGCAGACCCCCGCGGAGGGTCGCGGCCCTGACGGCGGCTCGTGCGGTCACGTGGTCGCCGCGGCGCGAGAGCGCCCGGAGCGCTTAGGGGGCCGATACCCCGTGTCCTGTGCGCTCGGCAGCTGCGCACCCCGTCCCGGGGCGGAAGCGGGGCGCCGGGTCCGGAGGAGCGGGGCAGGCCCGGGACGACGCCGGGCTCCCGGCGGCTCCCGGGCGGCCACGGGGTGGCAGCCGAGGCCCACGCTGCGCCCTCTGCGCCCGGCCTGCGCGCCTGGGCTTTCTCAGGAGCCGGGGCCGCACCCCTCGGACCTCCTGCCCGGATCCCCCGCCCCAGGGCCCATGGGTCCCCTTCCGGCTGCCCGGCGAATGTTGGACATCCCCGCCCTGTTGGAGGGCCCGCCTTTGGGACGCCCCCACCCCCACTCCAGGTCGAAGCCTGAGAACTCGGGTCCCCCCGGGGCTTCTCTGCAGCTGCCCACCGGGCACAGGTGAGCCCCAGGCCCCTCGACCAGACTCACCGTGTAAGGCCTCAGTTGGGAGAGGAGAGCTTCCCAGACCCACTGTCCTGGCAAAGACTGTGGTGGAGACGGGGGCTTGCTTTGGGGTGGGGGTGGGAGGACAGGAGGCGTGGAGACAGGAGGTGGGGGGATGGGGGAGGATGGGGGCATGAGGTGGGGGTGGACAGGTGATGGGGTGGGGGCAGAGCGGGTGGGCAGGTGGTAGCCATGGGGAGGCCAAGGGCCAGACACAGGCGTGGCATCGCTGGGGAAGCGCAGGGCTCGGGGGGCCGGCCAGTTCTGCAGTACCCCTTCGGGAAGCTTGGTCTACAACCTTGTTCTCCAGGCCGCCCACAGTTGTGCGAACCACCCAATATCCTGTTTTGGTTAAATCCATCAGAATCTGTTTCCGTGGCTGGCATCGACTAATGAACTAACCCTGATTTGTCACATGCCAATTACTAGACCTTTAAATCTCATGAGATTCTCTGAGGTAGCAATTCTCGTTTTCTAGATGAGGCAAACATGCCCAGAGAGGTTAAGTATTTCATCCACAGTCACACAGCACAGCAGTACCAGCTGCGTGTAGCCCCCTCACCCAGCTCAGTGCCTGACACCCAGCAGGTGCTTCATGTTTGGCTTTAATAAACACAGCACGTGAGTACATGAGAATGAGAACCTCCGCCTGCGCTGGTGGGTCTGGGGTGGGGCAGGCCATGGTGAGGGCAGGTGACCATCCAGGGAAGTCTCTGCCCTCCCCTAGGGCCCCTTCTCCTCCTCGGCATCCCTTGTCGTGCCTGCTGCCCGGGCTCCTCCGGCGCTTGGTTACCCACCTGGCCCTGGAAGGTGAGTTCAGACCTGGGCCGAGGCCCTGCTGCCAGTGTGCTTCTGCCCGTTCAGTGCTCAGGCCGCCGTGCGAGCGCAGCCGTGGCCGCCAAAGGCCCCAGAGTCTCAGCAGGGCCCTGTTCACGCAGGCACCGTCTCCTCCCCCAAGGCTGAGGAGTGACTCCCTGGCACCTGAAGCCTTGCCGTCCACCTGTAGGGCTGCTCGGAGGCAGCCGTCTCCCCCTGGCGCGTGTGAAGCCAGTTTCTTTGGGACGGTAGTTTGGACGCCATAAGGAACAGGACAGAGCAAGGCCACCCCCTTTTCTAACTGATGACCTTCAGATGTGGGAGGGCAGCGTGTGACGACTGTGTGCCGCCCAGCGCCCTTCCATTCTGCTCTGGGTTTTCTTCCTGAAGCGCTTGCCCTCCCTCCCCTCCACCCCCGGGTCCTCCCCGGAAGCACTTTCAGTTCCTGCACCTCCAGTGGTCCTGCCCAGATGGAGGGTCCGTTGTGCCTCCCCTTGGGGTCTGAGGGCTGCAGGGCAAGTGAGGTCTGCCCAGCCGGCTCACAGGTTCCTTGCTTCCTTGCTGGGGTCCCCTATGACAGGATTCAAACTCTGGCTCCCTTCTTACTGGCTGGGTGACTTTGGGCAAGTTATGAAACCTCTCTGTGCCTCAGTTTCTGCATCTGTAAAATGGGGTAATAATATCTGCCTCAAAGAATTATCGTTAAGGACTGACGGCGTATTTCCTAACCCCTAGCGTGCTGCATAGTGTCACAGAATTGTCCATTAGTAGTAAAACCGCCCATGTCAGTGTCACTAGTGTTTTTGAATATCAGCAGTGCCACCCCTCATATTCAGTTTATAGCCAGTTTAAAATGCAGTCTTTTTTCTTTTTTTTTTTCTTTTTACTTCTTCTCTTGTATAAACAGGCCCTGCTGCTCAGGCCCATCCCTGCAGCGTGCGCTTCAGCCGTTGGATTTTCACAGCAGAAACGGGACTTGCGGCCGTTCCCCCTGGGTGTTCAGCCTCGGGGCCCCCCGGGGTGCTCCACGGGAAGGTCTGTGAACACCCTGTGGGAGGGAGCAGGGTCGGAGGGTCTCCACGGAGGGGAGGCGAGCAGGCAAACCTCAGGCCACTAGGCCACAAAGACCCAGGACATCTTTCTCTAGCTGCAAGTCAGAATCCATTATCTAGACTCTCGGGCAGTAGGCATGCATGCCCGCTGACCCGGCGGCTGCGCATTGTGTCGGGGGCCAGAGACGAGGAGGTCACCGTGGAAAGACCCTGGTCGCTGCCTCTTCCACCCTTGCTGCCCAGGGCGAGGCTACAAATGGCGTAGCAGGTTTTTCTGACGTTCTCCTGGACTTACAACCACCTGTGAATCTTCTTTTCTGGGCTCCGTGCTTCGCTCTGTCCTCTCCTCGCGATCTCACCAAGCGCCAGGGACTCAGACTCAAGCCGCCTGCCGACAGCTCCTGTGTGTCTCCAGACCAGACTTCTCGGGCGTCAGCCTGCAACGAGTCTCTGCCGGGCATCCACAGGGGACCCCAGGGTCAGACCCTGCCCCCACCACCTGCTCCTCCTCCGCTGCTTTGGGAAGTAGATGGCAGCTCCATCCTGTGCCTGTTTATGTTCCCAGTATGGAAGTCACCCTGATGCCTCTCGAACCCCATGCCCAGCCCATTATCCAGTCCTGCTGGCTTGGCCTTCAGCAGATGGCCAGGACCTGCCTGTGCCCACCCCTCCGGGGAGCCAGCTCACCCCAAGGACACCACCTTGTCCCATCCAGATCTCTGCCCCCTAACTGCCCCCTCTTGGGGTCTGGGACTCGCTTCTGCCTTACAGCCAGAGCAACTGTTTCAAAAATCAAGTCATGCCAGAAACTTTCAATTAACAAAGTCATATTAAAAATGAAGGCAATAGTCAAAATGTATCCCTTCTGGATTATTTTACATTTTACTATTATTAGTGCATATTAATAGTTTTGTTGTGATTATATATTACTGTTATCTATGTGCTTGAGTTTAGGTATGTCTTTTCTTCCCTGTGGAGGAAATTCCTTCATAATGACGTCCTCCTGTGCGTCCCCACCTGACTGCCCATCGGCTGGGGTCAGCCATACTGGGAACAGCTACATACCACCGGTATCAGTAAATGCTGCAAATCAGGGTTTGGGTGATTTTCTCTATTTTCATAGACTTAAGAAAAGTGATGGGGTAAATATTTATGATGCAGAATAAATTTAGAAATGTCCCATGTCCATAGCTATTACACTGTGGGTAGCTCAAAAAATGGAGGCAGCATTCTAGTATTCAAAACCTGTGCCTGGTTCGGCAGACGCTGCTCACACCATTGATGTGTGAGTAACCCGTGTTCACACACAGCTTCATTGTTCACATTCACCTACTGGTCAACATGAATCAGTGTGTCAGCCAACATGCTGTTGAAACCACCCCCATTCATCAGTTGTAACCATAGTGGATCGTGGATACAAAACTTTGGTGAAAAGAAACCAAAGGATTCTGAGTCAATTGGATGTATGGGATTTCAGTACAGAGTACTTACACTTTTTAATTTACACACACACACACACACACACACCATACATCCGTCCCCCTCTCCAGCCTCCCTGCCTGGGGACCTGTGTGTGAAACACCCACCAGGCCACCCCGGGGGTAGTCCTCGTGCACACTCGCGTCCACCACGGCCACCTGGTCACGTTCCTCATGCTGGCCCAGGCGATGGCATTTCCCCCCATTGCTGATTTTTGTAGTGGCAGAGGACAGGCACTCTGGCCGTCAAATATGAGCTACGCTGCCCGTAGTCCACTGACCGGAGCAAGTCGCACGGCCACACCTACGTGAAGTGATCAGAGAAGGGAAACGCTGTCATATGCCTGGAAGGGGAGAAGGGGAACTAGAATTCCGGCGAATGGCCTCAGCGCCCCCACAATGTATCAGGCGTTCATGTGCCGCCCCACACCCGAACTAAGGCTCCCGGAGAGCGTTTGCCCCCTGCTGTATCCTGAGCACCTTGGAGATGCTGGAAAAATAGCACTGAGTGAATCTGAGATTGGCTCAGCAGTGGCAGGCCCTGGAAGCCCTCAGCGGTCAGTGGGGAGGATTGTTTCCTGGCTTCTGATCTTGATAAGCAATGTGTTTGTTTATTGCCCCTGCCCTGCCATATGCAGCTGGAAATTCACTGCTCGGCCAATCACATAGCTGCATGCAGCTGTGTGTGAGAGCAGGTCCCAGGGCCAGTGAAGGGCCAACTCCTGGGACTGACTGCAGACCCCACCGCAGGGGAGGCTTCTGGGACCCAGGTGGGCGGAGGGGGGGTCACGTAGGACCCAGCAGGAGGTGCCTCAGGCTGGCGGGTGCAGGGCTCTAAGGAGGGGACCCAAGGAGGTGAGTCTCCTCCACCTCACCCCGTCCTGGCTGCAGGGACTCTGGGTCTGTGTGACGGGTGATTCCCACTCTATCGGCTGCTGCCCTGCACAGCCGCACGGTAACATACGCAAGAGACGTCTGAGCCCAGGCAGTTCTCTTCCCTCCTCGGCCGGCTCAGCATCCTTGATAGATGCCAGCAGCGGCATGAAGGCTGTAGGCGCGGGAAGTATGGCAATGAAGTAGGGGTACCACAGGCTGGAGAATGAGCCCCACTCCTGCTCGGGGCTGGGACCTTGGAGCTCAGGCGCACATGGCTGCTCTGACCGGCTCACGCTGCCGCACACTCGGGGCGCCAACGGACCAGCTCCCACTTGTGGAGGACCTACTGTGCGCTGAGACACGGGGCATCGTTCATGAAGGAGTTCCTCAGCTCCCGCGGCTTAGTGTTTCCTGCTTGTCCAAGAGGAAACAGAGTCTTGGGGAGACTAAGGGACTCGTCCAACGTCCGCAGGGAAGCGGAAGAACCAGGGTTTGAATGAATCTTTCTGACTTTGGTGTCTGGCCTTTGCAAACAGGCACTTGTCCACCAAAAAAGTCCGTCATCCAGGCAACATGAACTCAAGACTCTGGGTTTGACTGACCTTGTGTACAAGATTAAAAAAAATAGCACTAGTATCTCCACATTTGATTCCAACTACAGACTCACTGAACTGAAAATAAATCCATTGACCATGATACTTTGTTTCTTTCAGGTTTTATTGAACACAAGTATTCTGACAGAATGCAAAGTCAAAATTCTCAGTTAGTACTCAGTATTTACACCAGTGAGAATGGAAACAAAGGTGGTATTGATGTTCACTTGGTAAAAAGTTTGCAACGAGAGAGAAGGCCCCCAAAGTATGGAATGCTGGGCAGGGATGTTGATGGAGGTCTGAAAACCGCCATCTAGACAGACAGCCTAGAGTGAAAACCTGGGTCTTGGAAGGCTCCGTAGGGAAGTGTGAGAACAGAGGTCCACTTCCAGGGCTGCACCACGTCCACCTCAGCCCTTCAGGACGCAAGACCCTGCGTGTGGCACCTGAGTGCCTCTCCAGCAGACCCTGGCCACGCCGGCATGTGTGTGAATACGTATGTATGCACACAGACATATAGACACATGACATCAGAAGCTGGGAGAGCTGACCCTGCCTTCAAAAGATTAAGAAAGGAAAACCATATGCTTTTATCCCTTAACATAAAAGACCATCTTGAAAGTGAAGCGACTCCCTCTGATTTGAGAGAGCGCACTGCTGTTCTGGTTTGTTTTAAAGAAAGGAAAGCTCACGCATGCAGAGACAAATCTATGTATAACGGGAGAGAGGTGGTCGGAGGGTGGGCAATGGGGGCTCCGGCTACCGGCGGGGCCAGGGGTCGGAAGGGGGGGTCTGCTGCCCGGGGCCAGGTTATCTGAGGGTTGACTACCTCCTTCTTGTCCTAATGTCAGAGCCAGAATCAGTTCGCTTGGCCACAGCCACTCGGAGTGAAATGCAGCCTCCATGAGGCACAGCATGGGCCTGGCCTAGGCGGTCCGAGCCGTCACCCAGGTGTGGAGGTGAGCCCACGGGGTACTCCCTGCCAGGCCCGGGGCCCCAGCCGGCGTGCTGGGCGCTCCTGCTGCCATGCACTAAGACCTGTCTGCACTTCACTTGTTCCCGAGGCCTGTATGCCTGAGCCACAGAGTGCGAGCCCAGGAATCAAGGGTCCAGGGCTGTGCGCCCTGCGACCTCCACTTCCATCCCCAGGAGCTGAGAAAATGCAAAATAACCCACATTTAGCAAATGACAAGACCATTATTTTTCACAGTTTGAAATTGTCATCTCAGCACTCGCCAGGGATCGGACTGCAGGAGGGCCAGCGGCCTTGTGGCCACACCAGGAAGAGACGTGCGCCGGCACCGCCTGCCTTACTCAGCCTCATCGTCGTCGTCACTTTAGTTCATTTTCCTTGTTTAAAGGCTTCACTTCCTTTTAAGAGTTATTTTTGTTTCCTGAATATTTCTTCTGAACTACCTGCTACATCTCCCACAACCAAACTATGCTGAAGTTTTATTTCAATACTATGACAAAAACACATTTCACACTAAAATATTCACGCATCCACATTGCACAAGCTTGCAGTTCTAAAGCAGAATGACAAAAAGAAAAGCAGAATTTCTATACAAAGGGCTGGCTTTTCCCTTCTCCCCCCTCCCATCCCCCTTGAAGTTCCTGTATTTTCCCCCAACTTGGTTTCTGATCTAGGAAAGTCGTGTTATGACTCCAGACAGCAGGTCGGTGTTTCCTTTTGTTTCTACAAATGCTGCCTAAGGGAACAGAAGGCCGATGTTACATTAGTTCAACAGATTTCCAAAAAAAGACACTAATTCCCTGAAGCACACATGCTCTTCCGCTCAAATCTAGATTCTGGGCTCAAAAGGAAATTGGATGGCATGTATTTTATTTGGCTTTCTACAAAAAGGGGATGTTTGGGGTAAAATGTGTGTTCACCAAGACCAGCCCCAACTATACAATCTCTCTGCTTCATTCAGCAAGGCCTAAGGAATCCTTCAGAAGGACGCGGACGCCTGGGGAGCAGATCCCTTCTTCCCAGATAGAGGCAGGTGGCGGCTGATCAGAAAGTGGTCTCACCCCCAAGAGACAAAAAAAGGAACTGAGAATCAAGAAGCGAAATTTGTCCAAAACGAGATGGGTTTCCACCTGAGCTGTGCACAGGCAGACATTTCCCATCAGAAGGGGGGCGAGCAACTGTAAACAAGCACATTCTGTGACGTCCTCCTGGGCCAAAGGCCAGGACGGTGCTTCCCGCCTCCGGGCAGTGTCTGTAACTTAAAAAAAAAAAAAGGCAGCTATTTTGCATGGACATGTAAGCACAACCGAAGTCAAACATCTGTCAACTTGTAAACACTGGAAAACAAAGTTCTACCAACAGAGAGGAAAGAAAAAGAAAAAAAAGAATGAAAAAGAGAAAGAAAAAGGAGGAAACCCGGATCCTGGCAAATTGAGATCTGCACCCCCAGGACTGCGGTCTGGGGTCCTTCCAGCGAAACAAGAGTCTATGTGGGAACGGAATTCCGCTGGAGGGCGACACACTTTGCATACTGAGCAAATACAAAGTGAACAGAAATTATAACTTACTTATGAGGTCTTACAGAGTTCAAACTTGACTGAAAGTATAAAAATAAACTTGGACTTTGTTCATTCGGTTAGTCTCAGCGCCGGGAAGCATCTCTCTGAGGCTGGTCTGTGCCAGCGGGTGTCACCAGCAATCTTCCTGAACCTAGATTTTGTTTCCGAGCTGGGTTGTTAATTTGGGGTCCTTTTGTTTGACTTTGAACGATTTCAGGGAACGGAGTGTCCTAGTTTGGCTGTGGGTTTAACCCTTTTGTTTCATTTTCTTACAGTGAGCGCACAAGTGAGCTTACAAGGGCCCCTTTCTATAAATCTACAAAAAGGGAATCCCGTGTTTATCTGTTTAGCTTTTTTTTAAAGGCAAAGACACTAGAGGAATGAGATGCGTGTGTGCGTGCGTGTGTGTGTCTGCGAGTGCGCATGCACGCGCGTGTGTGTGTGATATTGGAAACGCTCTGGCGAAGCTGCTGCCACTTTCCGTTCCGATCGGCTCCTTTCCGGTCACCCGTCAGGCTTTGCTCTCGCTCTCCGCTGTCTGTGGGGCCTCGTTGGGGGTCGTCTTGGCTGCGGCGGGTGCGGGCTGCGTCTCTGTCTCCTGGCGCTCCAGTTTCGTGTCTAAGGGGCCCTTCCTGCAGAGAATCAGGAAACAGCGCTGAGGCTGCGGCCTCGCCCTCGGCAGCCCGGAGGGGCTCCAGGTATGGTGTGGGCTCCAGCTGGCTGTGTGTCAGAGTCGTGTGGGGGCTCAAGTGATCACCGATGCCAGGGCCGTGACCCCAGACATCCTGCTGTAAGTGGTCTGGACACGGTGACTTTTAAAATCACCGAGGGGTGCCAACATGCAGCCCAAGTTAAGAGCTGCTGGATCAGAGGAACGAGGCCTTTCTTGTTCCAGCCCCAGTCCAGTGCCAGGCCTGTCTCTAGCTGGGGCATGTCGCTTTCTCCTCGGCCTGGTATAAATGAGGCTGTGCTGTGCTGAGCTCCCCAGTACTGAATTCAGGGGACCCCTCTGCAAACCACCCGTTCCTGCCCATCCCCTCTCCTGCCCCACAGGTGCTCTGGGTCTCAGGGCCACACCGCACCAGCTTGCCTGGTCAGGAAGAAAACGCTGTCCCCAAGGCAGCCTTCCATGGGGGGGGGGGGCTCGAGGGGGCTGCCCTGCTGTGGCGGCGGGGCAGCAGGCTGGGCGGACAGGGCTGGCACAGTCCTTTTAATTCTGGGGAGGGCCCCGAGCACCTCTCGATGGCAGCACACAGCTTGTCGGGGGGCAGCCACAGGAGCCTCCCCAGAAACCCGGGACTGACGCTGGTTGAAGGATGCCTGGGCAGGTCTCAGGCCCCAGCCCCAGCTGGAGCCACTGCATTTCTGCATCACTTTAAAAAACCCGTGAGCTTAAGAACCTCTTCTTGAACTTGGAGACACCGGTCATTCAGGGCTTGGAGAGGCGCCCAAGGGCAGGAGAACAAGACCAGCTGTGGTCTGGGGGGGCTCTGGGCTGTAATGGGGACCAGATCCTCCCCGACCCAGGCCTTGGGCCCACCCCTTTCCTTCCTGCACGGTGGTGCTGTTGGGTGGGCCCCAGGGTGGCTGATGGAGGCACCTTGGCCTCCTTTGCCTGCTTCCCGAACTATGCTTATCAGCGGCCCAGCTGCAGGGGTTCCCCAGAGCCCACAGAGCCGCTGCTCGGGCGGTAAGGAGCAGACATGATTAACATGCCCTAATTAGCGAGCAGGCGGCTGCGTGCTCAGCCCTGCTGCCTGCCCCCCGCTCTCGCTGCCTTAGCCCAGCCCTGGTGGACAGTCGCCTGGGAGAAGCCCCGGCTTAGGCTGCAGACACGTCTAACGAGCACACAGCACGGCACACGCGCACACACCACGGGACACAACCCGACAACAGCGGACAAGGAGAGGCCGTACTCGGTCTGGGCCGGTGCAGGCGGAACCGAGGTGTCTGCAGTGGGAGGAGCGAGTGCAGGCGCCTGTCCACTGGCCCCAGCGGCGGGAGCAGGAGAGCCCAGGGCTGCAAAAACATCCTTTGCAAGGTCAATATCTGGGGTCTTGAAGTTCCCTTCGTCCACTTTAAAGTCCTCACTCTGGGCGGGGTTGGCGGCCCGGGAGGAGGCGGCCTCGCCCTCCGGGTTAGGGGGCGTGGGGGCTGCCTCTGCAGTGCTCTTGCTGGCGCCTGGCTGGGTGGGCTCGGGGTCCAGGCCTTTGGTGCGGGGAGCCTCCTGGGTGGCCTGGGGGGCTTCTGGGGCAGGGGCAGCTGTGGGGGCCAGGGGACTGGCTACCCCGGTGGAGGTGGGGCCTGGCGCGAGGGCTGGCTTGCCTGCTGGAGGGGCCTTGGCGGCCTCCCCCACACTGGCAGGGGCGCTCGGGCTGAGCACGGCCCCCTGGGGGGCCAGGACACTGGTGGACAAACTGCTGGCGGTAGGGGCTGAGATCGGGGTGTCACTCAGGTCAACAAGGGGGGCGACTGTGGGTGCTGGAGCTGGGGGTGGGGAGGCGGCGGCAGTGCCCGGTCCCTTGGAAGGGGTGGCCTGGCCAGGGGGCACAGAGTTAGAGTCAGGGGTGACACTGGCTGGGGGGGCAATGCTGGAGGTCAGGGTGGTGGTCTCACTGGTGGGGCTGTTCTGAGCGGTGGCAAAGGTTTCGGTGACAGGGTCAGAGTTAGCGGTGACGGTGGTGACAGAAGGCAGCATGTCCTCCACAGTGGCTGTGGTGTCAGCAGGCAGCCTGCGGGGAGGACAGGAGGTAGAAGAGAACAGACAGTGAAGCCGGGACAGGACGCGGCAGCGGGGGCTGTGGCCGTGGGCAGGGACACAGGCCCACAGAGAAGCGACACGGAGAGGAAGCACACGCCAGGCGAGCAGAGGAAGCAGACACAGACCTGCCGGCCGCCCCCTGCGGACCCTCCCTGCAGCCCTGCTGGTCCTTCTGATCCCTGCCTGCCTCTAGACTAAAGGAGGGGCAGGCCTCAGCGCAGGGCCAGCATCCCAGTGCCCGAGGACTGGCAGTGGTGGGGGTAAGGCAGATGACATGCACCTCAAGTGGCCCCTACGAGCCCTGGTTCTCCGTTCAACTCCAGTCCCTTCGAGCCCATACACCCATGAGAGGAGGCAATCATCACGACACCGCCGGGCCCGGTTCCTGACTGAGGGTCCCCAAGGCTCCTGGGAACAGCAAGGAGCCTTACCGGGAGCCCAGCTTCACTCACCCTTTTAGGAAAAAATCCAGAAAACCCTAGAATTCTTGGGAAGTCCTACATAGCATCTGCTGAGCCCGTCAAAGCTCAGCCTCTCTGGTCAAAGCTTTGCCCCCATGGCCATCCCTAGGACGGGCGTGGGGCCTGGGGCCAGGGTCTTCCCATGTGTGCAACGAGCCCAGAAGGGCATGCACAGCCGCCCAGAAGACACCAAGAACGCCCTCTCTCTGGGGAGAGAGTGGTGCCAGGCGTTCACTAGCCGACAGCTCCAGAGATCTGGCCTGCGGCGTTGGGCTGGGAGCTATGGGGGAAGCACGAGAAGGGTGGGCAGGCTGAAAAGGTGTCGCTCTGCCGAGCGGGTGCCAACCCATCCCTGCCACGTACTCGGGCTCCGTCAGCGGCGTGGTCTCATTGGGCTCCACGTGCTTCCCCCCATCGTGGTTTGGGGTCCGCTCCTCCTCTGTCCGCACCTCCACGATGGGCTCCTTGGACTCATCTTTCCTGTGGAGAGAGGCCTGCTGGCTCGATCCTGGGGAGTGGGGCAGGAAGCAGCTCCCAGGGCAGCCAGGGCATTGGGGCCTGGCCCACAGCTGGCAGGGTGGAAGGGTGGGCATCTGGAGCCTGGGCACAGTGCCCACTCTGGCTATGTGACCACGACCATCTGATTTGCTCATCCTGCCACCATTTCCTCATCTGTAAAATGGGGTAAATAATAGTCTCTGCCCCGCTGAGCTGTTATGAACGCTAACTGAGATAATGGATGCAAGGTGCACAGCACAGTGCCTGGCACAGACAAGGCCTAGAAAGGCCTCTGTTCACATACATGTAAATATGTACATGCACATGTATATACAGCGCCTGGCATGTGGCGGTAATAACAGCTTATCTCCTTGGTCTGTCCTTCTCGCCTCGCTCCAGCTCATACCCACCCAGTGACAGTCCATGAAGGCCCCTGGCTCTATTTCTCCCGAGATTCCAGAGGGGACAGTGTGGGGACCGTCAGCTCTGTAGGGACAGGGTTTTTAAGTTTTGTCCCCTGCTGTACCCTTGTGCCTAGGTTCATGGTAGCTGCTCAGTATGGATACTTGTTGAGTGACATATGAATGAATGAATACATGAATGAATGACAGCCAGCCAGGCAAGTGTGCCTCCCAAATGCCGGCCTCCCCGCGGCAGCTCCTGACCAGGCTTGGCTCAGACAAGTCCCTCCCTTCTGGGCTATGCAGGGATTTTCAGACTTTGGTCAGATGCTGAGCCACCAGAGGTGCGGCTGGGCCCAGGAGTCTCCTGTGCAAACGGGGACCCCCGAGCCCATGCTGTGAGGGGCATTTTTCTCCCTTTGGGGCTTTCAAACGGGGAGGCTGAGGGGCTGGGGTGTGGGGCCCCCAGGGCCGGGGCAGAGCCTAGGCCCCCGCGGCAAGGGCGGGTCTGCACTCACGAGAAGGCGGCCTTGCCCTCCTCCACGTCCTTGCCCTTGGCCCCGGGCCCGGCCTTCCCGCAGAGGTTGACGGCGATGCACATGAGCAGGCCACACTTGTTCAGGAAGTAGCAGGTGATGTCCGCCACCACCAGGAGCAGGAAGAAGATGACAATGAGGATGCCCACGACGGCACCGGTGCCCAGGCCCGATGTGGGGCTGCCATTGGCTGGGTGGGAGGGAAAGGAGAAAGGGCTGCGGTCAGCACGCCGAGACGCACGGCCCGTACCCTGCAGGGCACCAGTGCCGGGGGTCGGCGGAGCCCAAGGGACAGTCTGGCACTTGTGTCCAGAGTGGTGCCCTCCCTGGGAGATTTCTACGCCCAGGTGTTGAGGCAACAGGGCCTGTTTGTATCTTCCAGAGGGAGGGACAGCAGCCTCATCTCACAGACAGGGGGACAGGCACAAGGCACCCAGCAGTTGGGGAGCCGGGACGGGAACTGTGCCTCCGTCCCTGCCCTCAACTTCTGAGCCCCCCAGGTCCACTCAACTCATGTCCCCGTGAGCCCTGGGAGTGGTCAGGGACAGGGCCCCAACAATGGTAGCAGAGGGTTCCCAGGGCTTCCTTTGGGCTGTGGCGACACCACACACAGCCGGGTGCCCAGCATCCTACCCCATGGCATCTCCCGCTTCAGGAACATTCCAGAGGGTCCTGACATCGGAGCACACGGGCTTCCTGCTGTCCTCCTTTGTTGCACCCAGAAAGACAAACGAAGCCCACCTGCTCTGGAGACATGGAGGCCTCCCCGGACCAGTGGGCGAGCGAGCGGTCCGGCAGCCCAGGCGCAGGCGCATGGGGTGAGTTGTGAGGGAAACCAGCGGGCTTACCAGAGACGCAAACCACACGGATCGGCGCGTTCACACTCAGGGCATCCGCACGCATTCCCACACCTGAGCAGGGCCCAGCACTCGCACCGTGGCTGGGCTCGCTTTGAATGCCAGCCTCTGTCAGGCTTCCCTGGGAGCTACAATCCCCCCGGAGCCCTGGGCTGTGGACAGCATTGCAGAAGGACCCCTGGTTCAGCTCCTGGGGCCTTGTGGGCAGCAGTGGACCTGCCGGCCACCTGCTGACCCCCACCAGTCTGGGAGACAGGGTCGCACTGCGCGGGAAGAGCTCTGCCTATAAGCTGATGTGGAATAATGGGAGTACGGGTCCTCCTGTGACACTTCCTTTTTCTGGAAGGACAGGGTTCTGGGACTGGCAGCTCCACCCGACCACCAGACCATGTCTGAAGCTTTCTGTGCCTGCGGGGATCACCTGGGTCTACTGGCTGGAGGCAGGAACAGTGGCTGACACTGCCCAGGCCTCGTGGTGCCTCTGCAGGGCACTGGGCCGGGCCCAGTGGCCTACCAGCCCCACATTCACACCATACCAGATGAGGGAAGCCATGGGTACCCAGGGTGCAGCACCACAGATGGGCTGTACCTTCTTCCTCATGCTGTCTGTTCCCAGGGGCTCTGCTCTGACTGCCCCAGGATCCCGGCTCGGGTACCACAGAGCTTCCTCAGTGCCTGCCCTGCCTCACTGGCCTTACTGCAAACTTCAGGGTGGAGCGCAGCCCAGCACGCCAGAGATGCCCAAGCATGCCTGGATTCCCAGCACCAGGGCACCAGGTCACAGCCGGGCTGAGCTGGTGAGGATCCTGAGCTCTCGGGTGTTTCTGGCTCCAGGGTCCTTGGTCTTGTTTCCCAGCCTTTCTCTCTCGGGCTCTGGCTGGTTCCAGCCGACCCCGCACTGGGGACCCCAGCCCACTCCCCAGGAAGGCCAGAGACCAGTAAGGGGCTCTGTGCTCAGGGCCCAGCTCTGGCCACCCTGTCTCACGGGCCTCCACGGTCAGCCAGTCAGGTCTTCCCCTGGCCGCTCATTACGCAGAACAAAGCCATCTGCTCTCCTTCCCCATGGTCCTCACACTTTCCACCCAAATAAGCAGAAGGAAGAAATACAAGCCTTCTTGATCTCAGAATCCCGAAGCTGTTTCCCTGAACAGGGACAGAGTATGAGCCTTGGGCTGGCTCACCCTGCACCCCAGCACTGGGCTGGGGGCCCTGCAGCCCCTGACCAGCGCTCAGCAGGTGTGAAGTGCTCACCTCCTGAAGAAGGGCCAGAAGCACTGTGGGGGGAGAATGTGTATACTGGGGCTCAAGGGCACCAATCCTACATTCTGAGGTTTATACGCAAGTATGGTTTTAGGGCACTAATCACCTCTCTACAGAGGAAAATAAACCACTGCAAAGCTGCTCTGTGTAGGAGACAGAAGTCGTCCCACCTGTGCTCTGGGCTCACGAGGGCCAGCTGGCCGGCACACTGGCCCTGAGTGTGAAGGCCATGAGCCCCGGGAAGAGCCCTGGGGGTGGAAAGTCCCACATAGAGCATGAAGCAAGGTGCTGGTCTCCCTTCCTCTGGGCAGGAAATCCAGATTCCCTCTCCTGGCCTGAAGGCCAGGTGGTGCCCCGTGGACTCTCACGTCCTCCCACAGGGCTCCCGGCACCAGCCTCCCCCAGCGGCTGACCTGCCGGGTGCGTGGCAGCCCCACCAGCCCAGCACGAAGGCTCTTCCCTGTCGCCCCTCAGCTCAGACGTTGCCTTGTCAGAGACCCCCCACCTCTTATCTACTCGACACCACCACACTGCCTGTATTATTGTCTTATTTTCCCTCTCTGCCGCTTTCTGTTCACTTACATGCCTTTTATGTGGCCACGCCCTCCAGAATGTACCTGCCTACGTGTCCCCAGCACCCAGGACAACTCAACTTAAGGAAACGTTCAAAGAATACTTGTTGAAGAAACGAACAGGGGTCGGTGTGGAGCTGAGAACGCTGACTCCAGACACTTAGACAAGTGCTATGAGGCGGAGGCAGTAGTCGTGTCTGGTGTCGCCACGGATGGAGACTGTGGGGCGGGGGGCAGACATGGGCTTGTGTGAGGAAGAGCTGGCGCACGGGGCTATGCAAACGGGGGGGAGGCTGCCCTGCTGGGTGGGCCCTGGTTGCTGGAGGGATTCAGGTGGGGGCTGGACAACGTCTGGCAGGGGGGCTGTAATGCTGGACCAGGACCCGCACTGGGCAGGGCCTGGGAGGGAGGATGCCCTCGAGTCCCCCTCAGCCGTGAGAGCGTGCCTCGCACGCCGTGCCATGCCCCCTCTCGAGGTGTGGACGCCCTAACGCTGAGGCCCTCTGCAGTGTGTACCGAGAAGGACTTAGTAGGTCCCATGTGTATTCACTGGTCCTGTGAGTTTCCTTTTCACAAAAAATACCTTTTAATTAAATGTTTTTTCACCTGCAGCATAATTCCTGGGGTGATTTGTTAAAAATTGAGATCGTGGGACCCCAGTTCTATTGAATCAGAGTTTCAGGGGGCGGCTCAGGAACCAGGATTCGATGGCACACTCAGGTGATCGTCATGCACGCTAGAGCCTAAGGACCACTGTTTCTAGATCTTTCCGTCCCTGCGTTACGATGAGTAACAGCTGTTCCCATGACTCACCGCTCATGGGTGAGCTGTGGGGCCTCACCTGGTAACCTTGGCCTAACAGGTCCTGGGCGGAGAGCAAAGCCTCCCCCCCGCCAGGGACCACCCGGCTCACCACAGGCGTCTACCCTGCTGGGGGGAAGCAAGGTGCTCCTCAAACTGAAGGAAGCGTACATACAGCTTTTACAAAAAGGAGCTGTGAGTCAGGGAAACCCTGGGACAGGCGGAAGGATGTTCAAGTCAGGCCGGCACCCATCCCTTCCTGGAGGGCGCTTCCTGCAGGGCCGTCCAGCGTGGGAAGGCGAGGACAGAAGTCATCTCCTACACCCTACGTAACATGAAACAGCCTTCCGGGGTCTCTCCTGCGACCTTTCCTGACCCCCGGGCCCAGTGCACCCACACACCAGTATGCAGGGAGTACTCTCGGGAGCAGTTTCCCCACAGCCTCGGGGTCAGCACGGTCCCGAGCAGGGAGCTGGTCGCCCCACGGTGGAGACCCACGTATGCCTGCCTCAAACTGGGAGCCCGGGTCTCACGTTTGTTTTCCAAGCGTCCCGGAGGGCTGGAGGCACGGTGCCACGGGATCTCGGCGCAGAGGAAATGCCCCTTCCTCCCACAGCTCTCCCGACTGGGGGGCTGGGGCTCTGCTTTGCTCATATCCCCCGAACCCACCCGCTTGCTTCACCCTGGAATCTGCTAAACAGATGGCTGGTCTCGGGGGCTTTGGGGAGGTGTCCAGCGAAGTGTGCTTATAAACAGAATAGGGCCTGCCACTGAGGACCTACCTCAGATGCGATCACAAGGCCACTCTGTGTGCCTCTGCCGTCGAGTTTGAAGGGAGCTTGAAATCAGGAGTGGTGTATCTGGTGGCCCAGAGGGTGCCCCTGGCCCCCAGTGACCCACCCCCTCCCAATCTGGGAAGGCACTTTGCTCCCCTGGCTGCTGGGAACTAGGGGAGTCAAGGAGGCGACGACCCGCAGCAGCTCCGGGGAGGCTGAGGGAGATGTGTATCTCCTCCCCAGGGAGGAAAGGCACCCCCTTTACCAGACACCACCCCGCAGGCCACGAGTCCGGGTGCACTTAAATGGCTCCCTACAGCAGTCTAAGTTACCGGGTACGTGTGAGGCGCAGGAACCGACTTCTAGCACTCGGCAGACACGCAGCTATCAAAGAAGCCAAAGCACGCTGCTGGGTTCACAGGGGCTCTTATTTCCTTTAATGGTGCAAAGGCGTGAACTGCATAAAGGCCTTGCTGGTCATCTACATGTTAGCATTCTTAGAGGAAAACGTGGTCCAAACCTGCTGTGTAAATACCTCAAACCACGCAGAGAAGCCCTGCGGCATGTGGTGGGTGGGCAGCACAGGTTGGCACGTGGATGGGGGGCAGTGGGGGTGGGATGGGCGGAGGTGGGGGCCTGTGGGGGAAGCTCACTCCTGCAGGAGCTCTAGGGCCGCCCTCTCAGGGACCCCAGTGGGGCAGGGGCTGTGGCCACCATGAGGAGGCATTGCGTGGGGGCGGGTGTACGCTAGTGCTGTCCTCAAGGGCACCTCATCACAAACCAGTCTGCCTGGGCGGGCCCACTGCGGTGACCCCAGAGCTGCTCAGGGGCCAGCTTGGCCCCAGGATGCGCTGAGGGGACAGGGCCACATCAGGCCTCCCCACTCAGGGCCAGACCTCCAGACCCCCGTCAGGCACACTGACACCGTCCCTGGCTCACAGGAGGGGCTGGGACCAGTGCGGGGCAGGCCCCGAAGACGGACCCTCTGAGTGAACACAGGATTCCTGCCCGCCACGGAATCCTGAGCGTGCTGGGAACCAGGGGACAGTGATGCGTGTCCTGCACGAGGGCCGGGCTGTCTTCCCCCTACGGGCCTAACAGCTCTCACCAAAGGGCCTGGGGTCCCCGCACACCTCTCCTCAGTGTTCCGACTTACACCCAGGAGCCAGGCCAGCTGCTGCCGGGTGTGAAGGGAGATCGGGCCCCGTGGGAGACTCGAGGTGGGGCCAGAGGCAGACGGGGCTTGAGCGACAGGCCTTGAGCCTTGGACCGTGGGCACTGGGCCCGCCACACAGGCAGCTCTGCCCCACAGACCACGGTCGTTTGTTCCCAATGGGAAAAGCTAGTCTTTGAACATTAAAAAATAACAACAGAACTGAAAAGTAAAGAAAGAACAAAAATCAAACTTCATAAAGATGAGCTGTGGAGAATGGCATGTGAGCACCGCGGAGGGAGGGCTCCTGCCAGTGGGGGGGTCCATCCCAACACACCCTGTTGTTCCTGAGCGGGAGGACGCCCCCCTCAGCTTTCACACAAGACTGTAGCACACACATGCCTTCCTCTCTGGGCACACGGGGAGGCAGGCTTCCCGAGGGCACAAAGAACCGGATGGGTTTTCCAGAGTGTGGACATGAAACTAAGACCGCTGACCAATAGGAGGACTGGGGCATCCGGGGAGTATGGTGGGCTGAGTCCCAGTTTATGGAAGTACAGCCTGCGCACTCTGGGGGTAGCTGCCCTGCCCTGGGGTGGAGGTGGCGGTGTGCAACTTGTGCCTGCCTCACAGCCCTTGCGACTGCAGGGGCTGATGCCATCATTGTGGGTCCCTGTTGGACCACAACCCCCCGAGACCTGGGTCTCCATGCTGATCCTGTGCGGCGGGGTTTCCCGGACTAGGAGACACACAGCTCGCAAGGCCGACAGTCTGTGCCCTGTTCAGAGGCAGCGTAAGGTGCTGGCTCTCGTCCCAGGGCCAGAGCGCCTCCCAGAACGTCTGGTCAGCTCTGGAAAGTGCCCAGCAGATCTGCCTTCTTTCACCGTACGGGCAGCAGCATGACTTCACCTGCCCGCGATGCCAGCAGGGCGCCGAGGAGAAGCCCTGTGGTTTGCTCCCCGGCCGGGCACTCAGTGCGAGCAAAGCCTGTGCTTGTTGGAGGGCAGGGCGGGGGTACAGCCTGGGGGGGCATGTGCGGTGGTTTTAGCAATCTGGTGCAAGCTTTAGGAGGCACTAGAAATCTTCCTCTGCTACCCTCGTTTCCAGGAAAGGACAAAAAGTGCAACAAGGGGCAGATGTACCCAAGCTTCTCAGGAAACCTAGCATATGCTCTTTTTTTTTTCTTTAGTGTTTAAAGAAAAGAGCTCCTGAGTAGTTTGTGCCGCTGTTGGGAAGGGGGCAAACTCCTTATGACGAGGCACAAGGGTGGCACAAGGTCTTGAGGTCCAGCTCTTTCCAATCGCCAAGCCTTCCTCTTCCCCACGAGCAGGTGGCGGTGTGGCCTGCGGTCTGACAGGGCTCTTCACTGGGACCACTGATCGCTCTCATAGGAACTGGGCTTTAAGCACATTTAATATTTTCGCGTTCAAGTTCCTAACAGAGCAAAATAACCACAGTGGGAAAAAGCAATGAGACAAAGGTGCAGGACGCGGAGGAGCCTCCCAGCGTCGCTGCGGCGCCAAGCAGCCGGTCCCCAGGGACAGCACGGTTGTTTGAAAACAAATGTGGCAGTGGGCACGTCCCAGTGACGTCCAAGGTGACGTGTGTGACGACAGGCACAGGGAGGGGGTGGGAGGAGGAAAGAGAAGGTAGAGACAGAAACAGAGAAAAAAATAGATAAAAGGAAAAAAATTAGGTCAAATACAGAAAACGCAAGAATCAAAGGTTAATTCAACTTAGTGAATCAAACCGACAACGGTTAGAGAAGCAGTCAGTGCGGTGTGACCGGGCTAGGCCGGCTCCGAAGCTCAGCGAGGTCAGAAGCGGCACAGCGGGGGCCTGGGCTCGGGGGCCAGCGAGCAAGTGACACCAGAGGGGGAACAGGAGCCCCACTGGCTGGACGGCACGGGGGTCTGCTGGGCGAGGGCTGCCCGTGGCTTGGAAGGGCTCTCGGATGGTCAGCAGTACTGCTCACAGCCTCCTCTCGAGGGCTGTCCGCATGCAGGGGGAGAGGGGTGTCTGAACGCTGCCCCGTCGGGGCAGGCTGCGCCTGGGGATGTCGGACTCTTTGTCCTGCTGCCCAGTGCCCAGCCCCGAGGGCCATTACAGATGGTCCGGTTCTGCGCCCTCACCGTCTACCCCCTGTGGGCCACAGAGCTCCCCCGGGAACGTACATCCTGTAACTCAGGTATTTTTCCTCAGGTCCCAAGACAACGGCCAGGTAAGTCCAATCGAGCACAGGGCCCCCTCCTTCGAGGACGTCTGCGGCGGAGCCACGGGGCCCTCGTGGGCCAGGGGAGCAGCCCCTCCAGTGCTCTCCAGGTGACCGTGTGCCTGGGAGACACTCTGATGTCTGCAGCTGGGCTCCGGAGGACAAGATGCCCTGGACTTTCCGAACCTGACACATGGTGCCCCCAGCATGCCGACGTGGCATGTCCCCAGGAAGCCAGTGTCATCGGGAGTTTGTCCTGCTGCAAAGGGTTGGCCTCTAACCCTCAGCTCCTAAGTGTCCCATAAAAGTGAGCAGATCTGGACACACACTGGATTTCAAGGAAAAACCGACCAAACAACAGGGTAAAAGGGGCAGAGGGAGGCGGGGCTGCCCACAGGACCCCGTGAGCAGTGGGACGGCACGTCTGCATTGGCGCTCACGGGCCTCGTCCTTGTCGCTGACCAGCTGACTGGTGCCTGCAGAGGCGCACGCATGCCAGCATATGCTCTGAGGGCCTCCAGCCAACGCAGGGGGCAGGACCGACCGACACTCCAGACCTGTGGCTCGAGGGCCACCTGCCAGTTCACTGGACCACAGGTTTGCCAAACACACGCATTCGCGCACAGTCAGCTGTGGGAAACCACTGATCTCATTCTGTGGCCACTCAACTAAACCATTTTCACACCTGCGGCCGTCAGTCTTAGCAGCCCGTACCCCTGCTGGCCTCTCTCCCACTGGGAAGGGCAGTCATGCCTCGTGGCTGAGATGCCAGGCAAGTACTACAGACAGAGCCAGCATCACAGCACCCGGCCAAGGCCACAGGCAGACCGGAACATCTTCCTGCCGCACATGAGCACAGCAGAGAATTTATGGGACCCCCGCTAACAAGCTGCGGCTGGATGGTCTATGCCCACCTCTCCTGCCTGCGGCTGGTCTGGAAAAGCAGACATGATGCTGAACATCTCCTGAGCAGCTTGGGCCCTGAAGAGACTGGCCACCGGCAGGGTAGCTGGGCCAGAAAGCAGAACTCGCACTTCAATTCCCACCCCTGAGCTGACCTGATCCCTAGAGGTGGGTCTGCATCTCCCAGGATGTATTTCCGGACCGCCTCTCATGGATGGGGTTTCCCCAGTTGTTCTGTTTCAAGAGCTTCAATTTAATCTGCTTCAGTTGAGGGGCCCTTGGAAGGTAGGATTTTTAACCGAATGGGCACCATCTCTTTCTTCTCCAGGGTCCCCACAAGGAAGAGATTTGGGCCATGGGTGAGCGGGTAAGCAAGCATCAGACAGGAAGGGCTTGGAAACGTCCCGTGGCTCTTGTACGACAGGGCCGAGGGCAGATGAGCTCTCAGAAAGCAACCCTACTCAGCTCCTCCCGTCTGGGGGGGCCCCACGGACCGGCTTAGCATCCGGGCCTCGAGGCTGAATGGCACAGCACCATGCCCAGGATGCTTGGCCAAGCCTTCCTGGGGGTCCAGCACATCTCAACCCACCACAGGGAGAGGCACAAAGCAAAACTCAGCCTGGCGGGGAGACCGATCGCGAGCACGGCTGTAAGCAAGCAAATCAGGGCTCGTTCAGGTGCGTTAGGGGTGCGGCACTTGTGCGTTAATTCAAAGCAGGAAACTCACGGAAAGCCGAGGGGCCAGTACCTGGGATGGCTGTGGGCTGGGCCGACGTCCTGAACACAAAGTGAGCCGCCTTGGACTTCCCCTGCTGGTTCTCGGCCACCACGTAGACCTCGTACTCAGCGTTCCAGTCCAGGGCCTTGAGCATGACGTGGTCACTGCCAGATGGGAGCCTGATCTCTGGTTTCCACTCGGAGGACAGCTTCTGGGAGAGGCGGGGGGACGGCAAACACCAGGAGGCGTTAGACGGGGATGCTGGCAGGAAGCTAATTGGAAGAACTTCGGGGATCAGTAATCATAGTATAAAATAGTACAAATACAGGCAGTGAGATGACAGGACACGGTGTTGATGCTTTCCCAGACCGAAAACCGGAGGATCCGCGGGTCAGGAGGTCCGCTGTGCATGTTTACGAATACAACACAATCCCAGTGTGCACGGGCCAACCCTCAGGACACACAGGCACTCAGTGCCACCGTGTCCCCATGCCGCACTCTGGAATGCCAGGCACACAGGCGTAAGGATGTCCCGGAAGAGCAAAAAGCGAGTATGTTTCCGGTCCCACCTCACCATGCTGCCCATACTCCGGGGTGTGACTCCCTGCCTTGGCGTGGGGACCCTGCAGATCCCAGCTTTATTAAAAGTCACAGCCGTCATTTACTGAGCACCTAACAGTGGCCTCTGCCACTGCTGTCAGCCCAGCGCCAGGCCGCTCAGAGAGTCACAGGGAAGGTGGACTCCGCACAGCAGGGCACCACCTGGGGCCCAGGCTCAGACAGGAAGCTCGAGTCACCCACGCCTCCCTTTCCCAGCAAATGTTCTTTGCAGTTACATCCTAACCATCTGCTGGTGCGTTTCTTCTGGGTGGGAGTTTGGAAAGCCAAGGTCTAGTGGGCACCTCCCTCGCAGGACCATGGTGGGAGGAGGTGTGCAGCCCGCCTGAGAGGCTGCAGACAGTTTCATGGCCATACGGCCGCCTACCTCTTCAGGCCCCACGGGAGGTGTGTGCTGGGCACACAAAAAGCTGGACAGGTGTTTATTCACTGACGGCTGTTCTTGGATGCGCAGAACACACTAGTAAAGTCACCCAGAGGGCATCTAGCCCCGGCTGAGGCTGGAGGAAGGGACCTCTTACCACAGAGCCTCTGCCCAGGCAGAATAATCTGTGCCAGCAACAACATGCCTCAGGGGTGTGACGGCACAGATGACACAGCCCGGACACGCGAGGGGAATGCCAGCTTCCCTAGAGTCTGACCAGGGAGCTGTGCTACAAGTCGGCTCACGTGTGTCACCACATGGTCCCGTTTCCATTTAAAACAAAGAAATTGAGCAGTCTGTCCTTTCTCGGAGAAGCTTCACCGTGCAAGCAACGACCAGAACGCAAAGCAAACACTACATACCGTATGATGCTCACGACACATATTAACAGCGCTTAGCAAATGTTATGTTTTCTGAAGTGGAAGAGAGGATGGTTAAGGCTGCTGAAATCGGATGGATCTCAGCATTTTGCCCTGTTGACTTCCCAGCAGAGGCCTGCCTGGGGCGGCCCCAACAGCTCTCCCGGGGAACCAAGCCCTGGGTGGGGGGGCATCTGCAGCTGTGGTCTGCGTCTAGCAGTCGTGGTCTACAGTCACCATGCACATTACCAGGCGCATTTCAGGCTCTCTGCTCTTATTATACCTAATCTTCGCAACAACTCAACAAGCTATTTCATTCCCATTACAGATGGGAGAAATGGATGTTTTGGAAGACTGGGTGACCTGTTCAGGCACAGGCTGTAAGTGGAGAAGCTGGAATTGAATCCCGTGTCTGTCGAGGCCACATTAGTATGACAACAGCCAGAACATGCCACTTTCCCACACTGCCCACTTCCAGTGACCTACGTGGGGCCACCTGCTCCACAGCGAAAGCCACAGGGACCTCCCACGCAGCGGTGCCTCTGGGAAGGCGGTGCTGGCCGCAGGGAGGCTGACGGGGGCTCCTCCCTGACATCAGCCTCAGGCTCAGGCCTGGCTTCACGATCAAGCGGGAGAGGGCTGAGTGAAGACCGGGTCTGCCTGCCAGCTGGAGCGAGCCTGGCAAGGCAGAGAGGCACTGACTCGACTTCCTGGAAAAAGCTTTTCTTGGGGGCTATCTGAAGAAAGGAAACTGCTCTCTGGTCATTTCCTACTGGTCAGAAGCCCTAGCAAGAGACTGTTCCCAGTGCTCAGACGCTACGTCGGGATTTCCCAGCATCTGGTTGCAGTGGACAATGGCCACGTGTCATGGTAAAACAAAAAGGGGGAGACTGATTCTCAGCTTGGGGTTGGGTGAAGGGCAGAGTGAAGGGGTGGCTGCAGGCCAGGGCCGGGCTCACTGTTCACAGGACTGGGGCAGCTGAGGTGGGGCTGAAGAGCAGCAAAGAGAAGCCTGTGGGTCGGGACTGGACGGCAGCCCCGGGCCCTGTGACTTGGTCACACAGAGCCGGATCCGCTCTCTGCTCACCTGGCTGCGCGTGATGAGCACTTTGTACCTGTGGAAGCCCCGGCTACTTCCCCCGTGGAGGGGGCGCAATCCTAAGACCAGGCTCATGGGGTTCTTGTGGAGAGGTGCATGTGACGGGGCCCAGCCCCTGACACACTCATCACAGGCAGCGATCACCACGTATCAGTGCGTCACAGGCAAAGAGGACGCGCAACAGCAAAGCAACACTGAAGCAGCAGAATGTGCAAGGGATGAAGTAGTCAGGAAAAGTGGTGCTTGCCCGGCCGCAGTCCGAGTTCATCACCACGGCCGTTCCACAGACTTTAGAAGGGCCCGGGTGTGGGCACGGCCTGAGAGCTGTGGGTCCCCCTCGGGATGCTAAACCCTGACCAGGGCCTCCGAGCTGAAGGCAAGAGACAGAGTGACTTTGTCCTGCCCCCGCCCACTCCTGCCTGCTTGGCCTTTGCATGCTGTTGCCCTGGCAAGATGGGGTTGGGCTGCAGGGGCAAAGGCAGGGATGGAGGCCACTCACCGCTCGGTACCTGACCAGGTAGTGTCTGATGGGGGAGCCGCCGTCGTCCTGCTTGATCAGGTTCACCTTGATGGAGTTTCCGTCCTCTCCCATCTGCCCTTCGAGCTTAGGAGCGCTGGGTTCCCCTGAAACAGCCAGTGAGCGCACGTGACATTCCACCCATGAGAGCCGGGCACAGTGGCCGGGCGGGCTGGGCTCTCGGAAATGCAGGTACCAAGCAGCACACGGACAACTTCAGGTTCCCGGGAGATGCCTCAGACTTCACCCCACCTGAGAATGCCTTTTGGGGGTGTTCGGGGAAAGGCCCCTCCTACTGGCACAGTCCTCCGGCCACCCTAGAAATGGGCTTTTCTCTGTCTCATCCTGGTGCTTGCATTTCTTTCTAGTGGCTCTTACAACTGCAGACTGAACTTTCACGAACCTGATACATTTGGAGGAACAGCCTGAATATGGGAAAATGTAAGCATTTAAGGAGAAAACTCATACCCATAAAGTGATTTTTCAAAGCAGCCTGATTTCTTCCTGGGAAAATCCGATTTTCATCCTAGTGGCCTGGAGCTGATCCCTAACGGGGTACAGTGACGCTACGTTTCCTCTGACCACCTTTTCATGAGTTAAATTTTATTCCTTAGATTCATTAAATGAGTAACAAGTTTCTGGTTGTGGCTGAATAAAGCCTGATTTGCCACAGGCACGTTTTCTCAAGTGTCCCACATTTATGGCTCAACTGCTTATGGGAAAATCCTTGGCACCTTGTGTCGCAGTAACAATCATTAAAGTCTTTTAGTTTGTGACAAAAGGAAGGGAAAAAACTGTCTTTCGCATTTCTCCACAGAAAAAAGTCTACGTTCCTCTGCTCGTGGTCTGCGCCTGGCTTGTAGCCAAGACCGCGGAGGAGGAGGAGCCTGTATGCGACAGACCCCGGGCCTGGGCTGGCTCCTCGGTACGAGGCTGCTCCACTTCAGGAGAAATGATTTCATTGGTAAATGCTGAGAAATGAGCTGAGAACATCGGGTTTAAAAAGTTAAAATGAAGTTTTGACACACTTGGAACCCTGCCCTTCCTGCGAGGAGCCAACTTTACCGCTTTCATGACCTCGGAGAGAAAACTGGGGGGGCCCAGACAAGAATACTTTCCAGGGGGTCATCCCGGCTCGTCCTCTGGGGACAGGGCCACAGCCATGCGGCAAGGGGCTGGGACAGGCGTGCTGCCGGGCTGTGGGGCCCGCCACCCCGCGTGCACCTCTGGTCATCCCTGAGGAGCTGGCAGGCAGGGCCAGCCCGGCCCACCCCCCTCTTCCATGGCCTCGGGGACTGCACAGGGGCCCGGGTGCCCTGCTCCTCCCGCTGAGAGGGGGAACCAGAGAGGGCGTGAGCTCGTCAGCATGGGCCAGCAGCAGGCACACCACCCAGCGGCTTGCTAGGGACACAGGGCCCTGCTGTAACAGGATCTCGGGGGATGAGGCTTGAGAACCCACAGTAATGGGACGCGTAAACACTACAACGGGGAGGGTGCACGATCTTAATGTCTGAAGGATCAAGTGGCTAGGAAAAGTTGTGCTTGTAATTTGTATTTTCAACAGTAATTAAGGGAAAAGAAAAACAAGAGTGAAAAGATAAATGGGCCTCAGGCAAAGACTTGTCCTGTTTTCACAGCACTATCTAGCCACTGACCCCAACTCTTCAGTGGGAAATACTCAGAAATTTGATTTAGACAATATCAAGGCATGGATGCTTTTGAGATTCTTTGGGACCAATCTAAGTCTTGGACAAAAACTCAATTATGTCTTAAATCAGTATAAATCTCCAGTGCTAAAAAAAGACTCAAAGTAGAGCATATGCTAGGGGCAGGGGCACGTCTGTGCAGCTTTACCAGCGCTGAACAGATGGCATCAGGGAGCACAGCAGTTTTACAGTCTGTTCTGACCGGATTAGGGTGCCCAGCTCATCCCAGGAGCTGGGACTTCCCAGGCCAGCCTCATGCTCTGGAAAGGCCCCAACTCCCAGGGACAGCAGGATGATTGTGAGGCTACACTGCACGGAGACGGGCCACTTACGCCTTTGGTAGTCAGAATCAAACACAACTGAGATGATCTTTTTGCCTTAAGAAGGAGGGAAGGAGGTGGCACCGCTGGCCCTTCCAACCTGCCTCCCAGGCAAGGACCCAGGCCTCCCCCAAGGCCAACCTGGAAGGTAAACGGACGGCAATCCCCTGGGGCTGCTCTGGCTGCGTCTCCCTCATCACTTCCACAGACTGCAGCAGGGTGCGCTCCACGGCCGGGTGGGCCCTGCAGGGCACTGAACTCGCCCACGCCCACTTGGAGAGGCATCCCTCAAACTGAATGCTCGGGGGCCGCAGCAGAGCCCAGGGAGTCCGCACATCCCTAAACCTGGGACGCTGGAACAGCACCCACAGAGCCCCTTGTGGCTGCACCCCAGGGGCACAGTGACACCCCTGCACCACGGTGGACCAGCATGATCTGGGCGGTCCCCAGGACACTGTACGAGGCAGAGCACGACACACGGGTATCCCGCCGATTTCAGGGCCATGAACCCAACATCAGCAGTTCTTCTCTCTAAGGCACAGAGCTGTCCCTTTATCTTTTACAATTTTTAAAAGGTGACCTCAAAGCAGTCTATGTGTGAAAAGAAACCCCAAGTCTCTTCAAAGATACATGAAGAAAAATCTTGCCAAGGAGTCCCTGCAGAAACCAACAGCCCAGATGAAAAGTACTTTTCTGTTTGGATTTGTTTCAGAAGAAAGAGAATCATAGAGAAATGACCAAGAAGTGTACCGCAGGAAGAACACAGCTCTAATATTTACCGAGCCAGAACACCATACTTAGCTGTCATTTAATCTCAGTAACTACCATGTTACTCTGATGCGTGTGTGTTACTTGCTCACGGAATTCAGAGCATTTTGTATCATGTGATATTTGGGTGTACCATTTAGAGTGCTTTAAATAGGACTTACTCAACAAATGTTTATTGAGTACCTACCAGGTACCAGGTACTTTATCAGGCACTGGAATTCAAAGAGGTACAGGACAGAGTTTTGTTTGCCAAGTGAAAAAAGCTTAAGGTTAATTCTTTTAAAAAATGTAGGTCCTCCTATGACAGTATTTCTGCAGGAAGATCATATTCAACTACGTATTCAAGACATCACAGAGACCCTGACCGGCTCGTGGCTATGTAAACACATGAACATATGGGGAGAGCAGTATTTGCTTAATCAGTTATCTCATCTTCAAATGTTTACTGTCAACCAGTTTTTTTTTTTAAAGATTAGAAATGGGGTAAAGAAACTGCTTTCTGAGCTCTCTGACGAAAGAAGACTCCAGCCATGGCTGACGAGGGAGGGGCTGGCGCCAGGGAAGAGGGCCTTGGCATTTAGGAGGCTCTCTGCTTTACTGAACACATTAGGAGAGGAAATTATTTAGAGGGCCCCAATGTGCCCTCTGTTCTGAGATGGCAACTCTGACTGAAATCATTATGGGTAATTTCAGCAAAACCAATATTGTAATTATTTGTAAATGTTGGTTTGCAATTCAGCAGCAATTGGCAGGTTGCTCCAAGAAAACCCCTGGGGTTAATTACACCCTCCGAGTTTAGCTTCAGCCACAAGTCAAATTCCCCACTCCCCCCCAAATATTTTATGTAAAGACTAAAACAGCAGTACTTTAAAAATAAACCTTTCCAATAACAGATCTGAGGTATTAGGCAGTTCTGGTGTTTTCCAAAAGAATGTAGATCAGGCGTGCAAAGAGGAAAGGATGCACCAGAGACCACAGAGCCAGAAACACCACAGGCCCGCACCGGACCTGCTGCGGCGGAGGAGCCGCAGCTGAAATGCGCATTTCTAGCCCTGCAGATTGTAGATTCTCCTTTGTGCTTTTGTCAACTGTGCCCTAAAGTTCAAGTCAGCTTCATGTCCTTCCCTTGAGGCAGAAGCTCTGGGGGTCAGAAAATCACTGCTGGGCACCTGAATTCCATGCCAAAGTCCGTGGCTGCTCAGACAGTGTTTGTGAAGTTTAGAAGGAAAATGACATTCTGCTTCTCACTCAAAAAAGCTCAGGTCCCGAGAGCTGTATCTTCTGAGTGAGACGCTGAGGTGCCAGCAGGCATTCTGAGGTGGGCTCCTTCTTCACCCACGCGGCTCCCCCACGGGGACTGCACAGTTTGGGGCATCTGAGCCTAAACTCAGGGTGGATGTAGGTCCTACACTAGAATGTTTTACTTTTTCTATCAAATAAAATTATCTGGCACTAAAAATCCTGTTTATAAAGCAATTTGAAACTTGCATATGCCTTTTTGTTACTTGTTTTGAAAAGTCCAAAAGGTATGATTTAGCTGCTCAAATACGAAGTCTGTGGGATTTCCCCAACTCAGGGAGATTCACAATTAATCAAGAGGTCAGAAGTTTCACGGTCCTTAGGTCAGCACATTTCCTAACGGCATCAGAATTCAGTGACAGACCACTCACTCTGCTGAGACCAAGCTATTCACCCAGATGTCAAGCAAACGAATCTAATGTGATCTATGCTGCAAACACTGTCAGACCCCCAAATGCTCCCAACGCCCCCTTTGACAAGGCTCTGGGTGTTCTGGGGTGTGAGGTGGCTTTCTGACAGTGTCAGAGAGGAGCCAGCAGTGTAGGGGCGGGCAGAGATTTGTCTTAAGCATCGATTCCCCAAATGAGGCCTTGGGAGTTAAGTGTTCTTTTTCTCCTGAGCTCTTCTCTCTTAACTGGTAAGATCTGCTTACGCTAGTGGGACCCGATGCTGACATGCTCGTGCCCGGCTTCAGGCAGTGCTGGGACACGGAACGGGTGGGCATGTGCACGGCTAGTCCCCAGCCCTCGGAGGGGGGCGCTTGGTTCCCCCTGGCCAAGCTGAGGGACATCCGCTCCACCCAGCCTGCTTGCACCCGTTCCCGCAGGGATTATGAATGCCAGTGTGTATGCTGGGGGTGCGGGTGGTGGGGGCAGATGGCAGGTGGAGTGCAAATTAAACAGTCACAAATGAATGCTGACAGTCCGAGCCACAAAAATACCAATTCCCTTCTTGTGAGTGTCATGAGAACACCAACAGATTAATTGATCAATTACCTCTGTTTCATTATCCTAAAAAGAAAATATGACCACAAAGGTAAGTCTTGTGGTTCTGGGGCTGATCGAGGCTGAGGAGGTTATGGCAGAAATAATCGCTGCTAAGACTGGGCTCCAGCCTCTGAGGCCACAGGTGGTGGGGGGAGGCCTGTGCACAGCTTCAACACTACGCCATGGAGGTTAGATGACTTCTGAAGAAATACGAAGCACCTGGGAGGTTTCAGCCCTGGTTCTGGCAAACCCTGGGGAAACAGGCCCCTGCCCACAGGTGCAGCTGGCACACATCGCCGGTGCACACCTGTGCAGGGGGTCCTCCCAAAAGGGCGACTAGAGCAGAGCCCCTGCTCACAAGCCTATGTCGACCCACCAGAGACCGTGGCAATCCAGACACACAGCTGTAAAAGATAAAGGCAGGAGTGGAAGGGGGGTTAGTGATGTTTCCAATCTGAGAAGGAAGAGTGGGTGTTAAGGAGTTTAGTTTCTCAGAATCAGCATGTCCTAGTATGAGTGAGTGTCAGTAGCTAAGGAAAAAAGGTCATTATGAACGGGCGGGAGGATCCATGCTCAGTCGTGCAGCACGCTGATGGGGGCTCACCACACGCATGCGGGTGGGTGGGGGTCCCCCTCACACAGCCTCTGGGGAGAGGGCAGAGCCACAGGAGGAAGCCGATCCTGTGCTGGGGCCCTGACCTGACACTGGAAGTTACCTTTGGCACTGAGGGTGCTTTGCTGTCACAGCAAACCCTCCTGCACTCTTGGGGCAGGTGCCCCGACCTCCTGGTCGTGAGTCCCCGGGGCAGAGCTCACGGCCTTCCTCTGCTGACCCGTAAGCAACGTGGCCCGGAACCGAGGGAGCGTGGGTGTAAGTGCGTCCCAGGCAGGGTCTGTGGGCCGGGAGGCGGGAGAAAGGGACACCGACTCCCTGCTCACCCAGATCTCCCGGAACCCGGCTCAACTCGCTAATGCCCAGGGAGACGCAGTGGGGGTCCCTGACTGAGCTTCATTTCTCTCCCCTGTAAACTTCATTTGCTCTGACCCCCCAGTCCCTTAAATTCTACTATTAAAAAGGCCATTTCTGGCTGCCAACGGCTCATCTGAATGACAGGTCCTCTGCCTGTCCCTTTCTGAATGGCGAGGGGGCGTCTGCTGCCCCGGGATGTGTCCTGATAAGGGGCAGCCGTGCTCAGGACCTCCGTGGCTCCTGGCGGTTCTCGGGATGGGCCGCACTCTGCTGGCCGCCGGGACCACTGGCCAGGTGAGTCCCCAGGGCGCCTGCAGGAGCCATCGGCAAATGTCTCTTCCTTGCTTAGAATGTCTGAGATCTCTCTTCCGAGGAGTGAATCAGTCTCTACCTCGTGTATGCCATGCTTTGCTTCCCTCTGAATTGCAGCAGTGCACGGAAAGGGCCCGAGCTGCTTTAAAAAGGAAAAGGAACTAGTGGGTTTCAACCCAACGTCTGCTCACACTCAAGATTTCAGAAGGAAGGTCCCAGTAGAGCAGCCTTAGCAGCCACCACAGGTCTAAGAGAGCCTGGGCCCTCCTGGGGCAATGATGGGACCACAGTATTTGGGGCAGGACTTGGAATTTCAAAGATCTTAGGCTCCTGCCTTAGATTCTCTGCCCTGAGACTCGAGATTAGGATACTTCTAAAGGTCAGTTCAAGGTATCAGCACATCTCACGTTTCTCTGCTCTGGGCGTTCCTCCTCTATGCCTGACAACGTACCAAACATCTCCGTTCTGGAAACGGGGTGACTCCAACCCATCTGCCCAGGAGGCTGGTTGTCAGTGGGACTCCGGGGGGCATGGGGGCCAGACCAGAAAGACGAAGTCCTTAGAGGGGTCAAGGGGGAGGGCGGGGACAGGGAGCAGACACGAGGTGCACACGGGGGAGCAGGCAACAGAGGACAAACCAGGGACAGGACATGCACGGCGAGCTGCGGGCGTCCTGCTGGCGTGGATGTGGCCCGACCAGCGGTCAGAGCCAGGAGGGAACACGGCGGCCCCGCACGCCCAGGCGCCCTGGTGTGTGTCAGTCGGCCTCTGATGAGGGCGGCCACCCGCACCTCAGGCTGAGATTTGAGGTAGACCTTGTCAGTCAGACGAGGGCAGAACGCGTGTGGCCCTCGGGGGGTTCGGACAGGTGTCTGATTTTACTGGGGGAGCTGTGAGCAGAGAGGCTTCCTTTCCTCTTTAGGCGAAATGAGAAATGCTTTCACAAGGTTGTGACAGTCACAACATTAACTCATCATTTTGTCACTGCTATGCACTTAATTAAGCTATAGTTTTATTTCTTTTGCTGCAAGGGTCAGTCCTGGGCTTCTTGATGACACGGAGATCTCCAGTCCCAGTAACTCCCAAGTGATTTTTGCTATGATTTTTCTCCCCCTGCCCGGGGGAGAGTCACTCTTGAAAAGTGACTCCTCAGCAATTTCAGCCAAGCTGCTCTAATTCCAAATTCTTAAGTCTCTCATTTGCATAAAAACTATGAAGCACTCTCACTGGCTCTGAGCAAATACAACCTTTGCAATTGATACATTTCTCTCTGTAATGTTTCAACATTATAAACAGATATGTTTTCACATTTTCACAGAATTGACTCATTTTAGAGCAACAGTGATTTTTCAGAACTACTGGATAATGTCAAACAACAATGCTAGAAAGCTGATTTACAAAACTACTTTCTGGGAAATAATTTTTATGAACTATCTGGTAAAAATTTAAGTTTGCAAACTGTGCCGTGGTTAAGTGGTATCCTGTAGATAGCAGTTTGCATGGCCAAATTTCTTGAATCAAAATAGTAAACCAATGTTACGGTATCAAATCGTCATGTCAAGGCTGCAAAGAATGGTGAACTCTGGGTGTGAATCGAGAACAAGAGGCAATCTCTCAAATGGCTTCACTGAAGAAACCTGAGACAGGAGGGAATGCGTGGGCCCGGCTGCCAGGCTGTGTCCCAAATTTACGCCACTAATCAGAACAAAGAGTTTTACCTTCTGTTCACCAGCGTGGACGACATCATCAGCACCATGCAAGCCACATGACAGAGTCACATGATACGCACGCACATGATTGGTTGAAAGGAAAGTGGAGGTCACATGGAAAATACAAAAAAATTAGAAACTGATGTAAACAATGGGCAGGGAGAAAAATCAACAACAAAATCACAGACTAAATAAAAGGAGAAATCAAATTAAATTAGCAGCATATATAGGAAACATTGGGAAGACAGTAAAATCACCCGGAAGAAGGAGAATAATAAAAATCATACAGAGAATGTGGTTGACCACCCCAGCAGGCATTAGATACTGCATGACAATGCATGTCAGCACCACCCGGGGGTAAGGTGCGCCGGGTCTGAACTGGGGAGAGGCTTCTGTCAGGACCCGTCACAGGTGACCCGGCGGACGGCTGGAGGAAAAGGAGAAAGCAGGTCATTATCCACAGATCCCAGAAATGTCTCCAGATCCTTGGGAAACAAGGTGCGGAAATGGAACGGTGGTTATGAAGGAAAAGTCCCAGGATTTTAAGGCGTGGACCGTGTGCCCTGTAAGAACAAAATACTACATTACATCAAGAAAAGTTGTTTCATGTTTCCTCTGCCGCAATGAGGAGAGAGGAGGGCAGGGCCTGAGCGAGGTCTGGTGGGTGCAGGCAGGTGGGGGCATGGGGACCATCCCTCCCTTCTCTGCTCAGCCACCCCCAGGACCCCAGAGGCCCAGATGGGATTCCCCCGATGAGACACACATGAAGGAAGAGGCCAGAGCAGAACAGGAAATGGGTTTCCTTCTGGGGGTTGAGTCAATGGTTCTGCCCACCCTAAACATGAGAAACTGACCCTCTAGCTCTCTGACATTAAACACGGGGGCATGTGTGGGTCCAGCTATTTCTTTAGCCGTATAGCTGCATCAATAACACAGGAGTTTGATTTTTACAGCAAAAAACAGTTTCCTTGTTTGGGTCTGTCTGCGTCCCTCTCTGTCCTACGCTGCTCTGTGTTCCCTTGTACTACTGAATGGCTGCACCTTGTCCACAGGCATCTTTGTTTTCCCAACTTGATTTTCACAGGCCAAGGAAGTTCTCGCTGTTCTCAGCTGAAGCTAAGCAGGAAGGGCAAAGAAGGGGGTAGCACTAGCTCTTTGCCCAGAGATCACCACTGTTCAAAAACAACTCGAGAGAAATGCTTTAACCAAGTCATGCGCACCTGTCCACTGTGAGCTAAGAGAACGCGTGCCTCTCGGACACGGCTCGGGTTCTGGCACATTCTGACCAAGGGTGCCCCACGGGGATCACATACTATGGGCAATTCCTCCTCTGATTTTATTTAGGACACCTTCATTCATTCATGATTTTACACGCCCCCCCTTCATCACTGCCCCCCAACTCTAGTGAAAAGAAGAGAGAGTATTTTCAATCCTGCTGCCTGACTGATGGTAGTAGATGTCTGCGTGTCCTGGCTCCTCTGTTATTAGTTCCACTGCCTTTCACATGTGCCACATTTTGTCTCACTGTTGAGGAATATGTCTATGCTAAGCACAGGCTGCTGCCCAACCGTGACTGCCCATCCTTCATCCCTCTGGGCCTACAATTGGGGTCAGCTGTCAAGTGGTTCAAAATAAAAAAGACTCAAACTTCCTTCTCTTTGGATGCCACTACTGAACGTCTTATCCGTGGGCAGACATGTCTGATGTTTAAAATTAAATACACATCGGAGAGAAACACCTAATTTCTCCTTAGGGAAACCTCTGGATGCAGGGCTGTGCTCTGCCACGAGACACGCTCACACGGCACATGCCCTGCAGACGCATCCTGCAGCCTCCTGTGCCTGGGCGCACGCTGCCCTGAGCGGGAGGGAAGGACAGAGCGCCCTGAGGAGAAAGGGCTCTGCTGGTTGCGTCCCTTTCCAAATGCAAGCAGCATCATCTGAATCGCACCTGTGTGAGCAGAGTTCATTGTCACCCACTCAGCTCTGCTGACAAAACGAAACCTCAAAAGCACCAGGAATTAAAATTTACCGCAGACCTACACACAGAGAAAACCAAGCAAGCAGGCCCTTCGCTGTATTTGCAGCAGAAAAAAGAACCATTTCATGCAACACGCAGAACCAGGCAAGCCTTTTCTTCTCCCCTCAATTATGCACCAGAAGCCCTGGCCCCAGGAACAGAGTGGGAGCTGAGCTTTGCAAACCTGCGTTCTGCCGGCTCCATTGCTCTGAGCGCTGCTCAGTGGGGTGCATGCCATTTTTGGTGCACTCAAAAATGCCATAAAATCTGCAGTTCCCACACAGCTGTGACACACACTGTAAACACACACACATGCTCCGGCTGACTGGTCGGGGATTTAAGGCCTAATACACAAGCTCACTTCATTAGGGACTAGCTTGGAACATGGTAGGGTCGTGATGAAGTGTAATGTTTTCTACAGTAGAAAAGACGATTTGGTTTGGCCCAGACTCTATAAGGAGTAGATGGATTCCAGAACTTTCACTGGGATTCTCAGCACACAAAACTGAGGGAGCCTGCTTATGCTTTTCCTGGCTGCCATTTTCTGGTGTGGAGGGGAGACTGGGGCTGGGACACAACGCCTCCCCTTCAGAGTGCCTGCGGCTCAGCCCTCCCAGCTCTGCGCCAGACAAAGGCAGGCCTGCTGGCAGCAAGCAGCAGCCCCTCCCTTCGGAGCATGTCCGTCTACCTCTCCCTGCATAGCCATGTCCTCCTGTTCCTTTCCTTGCTAGCCTTCCCACTGCTCCTGTGTCCATGTGGGCGCACACAAGCTCCTGAGGGGGGACAACAGCTGGGAAGAAGTGTTCTCCCTTTGTCTCAGTTTCTCTGATCCTTTTCTATTTTTAACTTGGGGGCACATCTGTCCTCGCGCCCAGAATATCCTTCAAATCATCACCCTGCTCTTTTGGCCAAGCAGACTGCATGCTTAGGGCACCACATGGGGCCAGGGGCCTCCATGCACTCACAGCTGTTGCTTTTAGGACAAGGGGAAACCAGGGGTTGCTGTGGCCGGAAGCCAGACCCCAACAAGCAGCAATCCGGCCGCCAGCAGACAACTCTGTACTCACTGGGTGGCTCTGTGGTCGTGAGGGCAGGAAGAAGCCAGGTTGCTATGGAAACATGAAGGACAGATATGGCACAGATAGGTGAGGCGGGAATGGAGATAAATTCATGAGTAAACATATATACAGATATGTATATATTTTGTCTATTTTTTAAGGCATTTTATATAAGGAAAAGAAAGAAATGGTAAAGAAGTATTTTCTTAATTTCTTCCCCAATTTATCAATATGAATACAGATATTTTAAAAAGATTATGAGTCTTTGCTGACAAATCACTCTCATGAAGCAAGAAATAATATAACCTGCATTCATTATTATTAATTCCAGCTATTATGTGACAGGCACTGTTTTGTGTTCTATGAACCTAATCCTAGATTTCATGAAAAGGTGGGCAGAACTGATCCGTCATTCGCGAGACAAGAGGCCAGAGGTTCGGGTGGCTGAGCGATGCATTCACGCTGATGGAGCTGGGACGAGCCCTGGCCGTGTCTGGTTCCCAGGCTGAGCTCCTGCTGTCTAGTACACGGCCTGGGGAGCGCCCCGTGGGGGTGGCGGGCCTGCTCCTATGTCAAGCAGGTGCCACTGCGGGCTTCTGAGCGCGGGGCTATAGCTGCTGCTTGAGACCGTGCCCAGCATGCAGGACCTCTGACGTACCAGGCAGAGTCCAGCCCTGCCACCCCGCACGCTCCTTGGAGTGCGCATCAGCGCGACACCGGGACCCACTCAGCTGTCGCCTTGCTCTGCTCTTTCCCCCGGAGCGCCAGGTTCAGAATCCCTGGCAGCAGGTTGGCGCTCAGCTCCCGAGGATGAGGCGGCCACGTGAAGCCAGACCGCAGAGTGGGCCTCAGTGACAACGCCTGAGGCCGGCGAGCATGTCTGTGCCCGGCTGTGTGGCGCCGCTGGGGGCGGGCAGTGCAGCTTGACGAGCACCCTAATGTGGGTCTGGGTTTTTGGACAGAGGGCCACTTCCCCATCCTACTTTACAGAGGAGGAAAACGAGGCTTTCCTGAGAAGAGTTAAATCATCTCACTAAGCGCCTGCTGCCAGGCACATTTGCCAGACACAGTTTATTTGCTCACAAATATTTATGAGGAATGTATGCATTTATGGAGAAAGCCAAAGTTATGTATGGTCTCACTATCCAATTTCAGTATGAACCCAACTGTGCCAGTTAAAATGAAGGGCAGAAACACAACACTCTGGTGCATTTCTTATGACCCTGCAGAATAGAAATTTTTCTTGGCAAATTCCTTTGGCTTCTCCAAATATCAGCGCACCAGGACGGGGCTGGCCTGAGGCAAGGGCCTCGGGAAGCCGGCCTGCAGGTCCTCTGCCCAGACTGACTGTATTTGCTTGCCTCCTTTGGGGGCAGTGCTGCCTCCCTCAAATCTGGGAGGCCCTGGGCCTACTTCTCCTCTCACTGGCTTCTCCAAAACCCGGTGCTGCTTTCTGTCCACAGAGCTGAACTATCAGCTGGGGAAGAAGAAAACAGTAGGCACATGCCCTGTGGCTGGCGGAAAGCAACCTGCAGGAGACAGATGGAGGAAATGGTACTCACTGTCTGGATGAGACAAGGGGACAGGGGTGGCAGAGCTAACAGGAGCCGCTGAGGAAAGAGAAATGAAGGTGAGAAAAAAGGGAGATCAGGGCACATGGAGACCGAAAGGACAAACAGAGGAACCAGCCGGGGTGTCAGCAGGAGAAGCTGAGTGAGTGAAGGGGAACAGGCGGCCTGTGGACCAGCACAGAGCAGGACTCTCTGCTTCAGCCTGTGTGCCCGCCAAGCCTTGTGCTTCCGCCGAGGGGCTGGGCTGGGAACAGCTGCCCCCACATGGGACGGCGGGAGGAGAGGGGCCCTGGACCTCGGCTCACGGTGAGCGGGAGATGAAGGGCTCTTCACGCCGGCTCCCTTTGTGTATTTACATGCAGGCACATCTTCGCACCAGCACGCTGAGCAGAGGCTGTGTGCCTCACTCTCTGATCTCAATGTCTCAGAGACACAGAAGCAGCCATCCTGGTGCTACTGCTGGGTGAGGCTCAGGACTGCTTGGCATCTGATGGCGCCATGACCCCGGTACCCTCCACGACCCCACAGAAGTGGTCCTCCGGATGCTGCCGTGTGTGCCGAGCAGGGAAGATATTGTGAGCATTGTGTCCGTTCTCCCAGGGAAATGGGGTGTTAAAGAGGCCGGGACAGACCAGACAACACTACCCAGGTCCGCATGGAGAACCATTAGCGATGGTGCATCTGAGACATTCAGACACTGAACGATCTTCCCTTTTCTACTGGAAAATATTCAGAAGTTGTCCCGGGAACAATCACAAAACAAAGTCCCCTTTGAGAGCTGGGTGAGAACTTGAAAAAGCTTCACTATCATTGTATCTCCAACACTGCCCTGACCTCCCAGGCGAGGGCGCTTCTCCAAACTGTGCGAGTGGCACGTCCCTGGGATGAGAGTGAGAGGCTACCGACTGCGTGCTTCAGGGTCTGGTCAATCCAGGTGAATGCCTCTGTTTTTTGGCTTGAATTGTTTGCCCAATTGTCCATATTATTCTGGCAGAGGGATGGAGCTTTATGTGGTTTAACAACAGTACATTAGAATGCATTCAACTTGTACTTGTGATGTGACATCTGGGGGTGAAATGTGACTGCAGCCAACTCAAGGAGCTTCTTCTAAAAAGTAGAGACTCATTTTGGGTCTTCATACCCTGAAAGAAGTCATCTACTTTGCTTCATAGTATAAAGCAAATTAAGAGGTAACATTCAGGCAAGGAAATTCTGAAGGTATGTGGCTCAGTCATGGAGGAAAAGATTCACAAACTGTCCCCTCGCTTCTTTAGGGCAACAGCAGCTGATATCAGGGCAAGCAGAGGTGTGAGCTTCCCTCCCAGGAGTGTCCTGACAGCATGCAGACATCTGGCTAAAAATACACAAAACGGGTGTTTTCCCAGGTCGGAGCCCTGTTTGCAGCCGTGGCTCCTGCCTCACTGTCACGCACGTTTATGACCTGCTCACAAAGACCTTCCAGCAGGTGAGCCACGGTTCCTAACCAGGCAGCCCAGAGGCAGGAGTCCGTGAGGTGAGCGTGGTGTTGGCGGGTTTCTCCTGCTCACTCCTGTCTGACAGTCGTGCCCCTGAGTGTGGAGAGGTCATCAGGGAACCGAGGAGGCCAACACCATAACTGACCATCTCAGCGAATTTCAGGAGAGGAGCAGTGGGGAGTGCACGGCTCATGCCTGATCTCCCTGACCCGGGGCCCTGGCAGCAAGGACTCTGTCCAGCTTACCAGCTCGATCCTGTGCTTCTCTCCCTTGGGGTGAGGATGCCCTGTGACACGGGGGCAGGCTGTGCACCTGCACCCCATCACAGGAGGGGTAGCACTGCCCACGGCGAGATGAGCCAGTGGCAGAAACCAGTGCTTGGGGTAAGCACACGCTGAAGTGATGGCCGACTGTGTCTCCCCAAGTTGCTTCTGAAGAAGCAGGAATGGGAACTCAGAGAAGGTCCCTCCAAAACGTGTCCTCACTTTCTGGCATCAGTCAGCGGGTTTTGCCACACAGCATAAATGAGGGGGGCATCCTTCCAACTGTCCTTTTCCAGGATGGGTCTGGGGGTGACAGGATGCCCCTCAGGCTGGGCCTTCACTGTGGGGACTCTGTGCAAGGGAAGGTCACACCAACCAGCGTCAGTGAGAGTGGAGCGGCCTCGCACATCTGCTGCAGCGTGTGTTACCTCCTGAGCGGCTCAAGGTCTTCAAAAGGCCCTCGACTCTGTCTGCCACAGTGCCCCTTATCCAAAATAAATTTGCTTTTCAAATTCTTTAAACCATGACTTTATCAGATGGTTGAGAAAACTTGACATTCTGTGCCAGTGGCAATGACTGTGGCTCCATCATCCACGGTCTCCTGGGAAGCAGGGCCGGCCCCACCATTCTCCAAAGCCTTCTTGGACTCTTGGTTAACGATTCGTTTTTGTACCAGCAGACAATAAACAACATGGCCTAAAGGTCTCCGTTTTTTAAAAAAATTACACATTGACCTTCACAAAATAGCAGCTGCTACAGAACTTCTCACCTTTACAAGGGCTGAGCTGGCAGTGAATAAAAACTACTTATGACCTTTGAGGTCCGAGACCTCGTACTCCCTGGGCTCTCGATGACCAGTGATTCAGCAGTCACACCCCGCTGCTGGTCAAAAACTCAAAGAGGCCTCTTCCCAGCCCCTGTCTGCAATGTTACTCAGCATTCACTTCCTGATAAAACCCAAAGGGCAGCCGCTGAAGGCTCGGATTCAGGAGCCAGGAGGCAGGTGCTCTCAGGAGAGCTGACCTTTCTGAACTTGCTCAGGGAGGAGCTGCCCAGAGCGGGCAGCCACGGGTGCTGCCTGGCAGCCCCAGCCGTTCTGCCTCCTCCCACAGCCCGACTGTTCAGGGACCTCGGCTGGGATGGTGTTCGGCTCCTGCTCCGACTCCGAGGCACCCACCCTGTGCCTCCTTGTCCCCGTTCCTGCCGCAGCCTTTCTGAATGAACTCGGAAAAGCTAAGCTTGTCTGAGTGCTTTCCAGGGGCAGGGAGCCCCGGGTAAAGGGGGTGAGCTTTCTGGGACCTCTTCTCCCATGCGTCTCTGGGTAACACCTCCCTCGGCCACTGTGAGCCCCGCCCGGGAGAGCCGGCCACAGGGCTGCAGGCTCCTCCTGTCACCTGTCTCTGCATGTGACCCCCGGAGAGTCACCCCCACAGGGCTACCAAGGGCTGGTCAGTCGTTCCTGAACATGGAGATGCCACCACACGTGACCTCGTGTTAAAGGGCTGAGTTGACCAGGCCCAGGGTGCAACCCCAGCAGCTGCCCGCGGGATGTGTCCAGGACTTGGAGCCACTGACAACCACTGACGCTTTCTTGGGCTTCCCCAGGCAGCCCTCCAGCTACAGCCCAACAGACAGAGAGGAAGGGAGACGGGCTCAGCGGTTCTAGCACCTCAAAGCCAATGCGAAGACCCTGTAGCTTCTTTCTCCGTGCGGGGATGGAGCCCTTGGTGAGACTCTGGTTATTTTCTGCATCCTGGCCAGAGGCGAGGTGGCACGACAGCATGCTCCTCAGAGACCACCTGAGGCCTGCACCACGCGCAGCTCGGCAAGCGCTGCTGCCACAGGGGGATCACCACACACAGACACTAATAAATGGACATGATTTCAAAAGACACAAAAGTCGCATGCTCTAGAACAGGACAAGGGTTAGCCTCTTGGAGTATCCTAGGGATGTTAACAGGTGCACAGCTAGGCTATGGTCAGTGTGGTTAGGCCCCGACGGTCTCATCTACTGCAGCCTCTAGGGGGCAAAAAGGGCCGAACTAAATTAAGAACTAGGACTAGCAGGTGTTAACACTATAGAAACAGGTGGCGGGTGTGAGGAGGCACTTACGTGGAGGAGGGCTATCTGCATTTCCCACGGATGGAACGGACGAAAAGAAAGGGCAAGAGACAGACCCACGGAGAAAAAAACAAGATGTAAAGAAATGAATAGGATCCGGAGAGCACATGGAGTTGGAAACTTAAATTATCAAATGACGTCAAATCCAGAAAGAAGTGATTTCTGTAGAAGGAGACTGAGATGGGCCTTCCAGTTCAGGGAGAGGTGAGGGGAGTGCCTGACCGGCCCCTGCCTCCAAAGCGCAGGAGGCAGAGCCAGGGTGAGCTTTAGAATTCCAGGAATGGGAGGGCCGGGGAGCGGCGTGACCACTGAGGAGCCCGGCTCTGCCAGGCGCACACATGGTCCCCCGGGCAGCCCCGGGGCTGAGGAGAGGTGCTGGCGAGAGCAGGCCACCCGAGCCTGGCCGCTTATGGGGTGGGAGGGGAGACACAGCGGGCACGGTGTAAGGGGATAGGGGCTGGTGGGGGCGGCCAGAGATGGAATCCTGGAGGAGCTCACGGAGGAGGCCCCGAGGGAGGCAGACCCTGACGTGCGCCCCTAGGGTGCAGAGGGAGGGGAGGTGGGGGGCCAGATGCCTCCCCGAAGGCCCTTTCCCCTTCGTGCTGCGGAGTTTCGCCCCTGCTCACGTGTCCTGTAACAGTCTCCGTTTTCCTGTAACCTACTATCTCTGCTGCATCAAAAAACCACACCTAATTATGCGAGCTGCCACTGCCTTTCCACCCTCCTACTCCAAGCCACGGGGCACCCAGAGCCTTCAGCGAGCTGCGTCCCAAAGGCGGTCCCCACGTCCCCCCACCACACACCGCTGTGTCTCTCCCCGGCCCCTTTAGCAGCATGTCGGTGGTCCTCCCCCCTGGCTGTTAGTCGGAAGAGCTGGGCCGGCTGCCATTACAGTGTCACTAGGTCCTTTGGGGAAGAGGATAAAGGGATGGGTGCCAGCCGTCACCGAGGCCCAGAGAACTGGGAGGGGACTCGTAAGACAGAGACTGTCATCTGGATGAAGGACCAGGCCAGCCTGGGGCCCCCGGAGCAGCGGGCGGGCAGGGAAGAGGCGGGGCGGCCGTGTACTCACGGACTGGCTGCGTCCTGAACTCGGAGGCGGCGCTGATCTCTCCCAGGCCCTTGCCGTTGAGGGCGGCCAGTCGTACGGCATACGTCGTCTCGGGCTTCAGGCCCGCGATGGTGACGATGCCCTCCATGCTGGCTGCAGGGAGAACGTGGGGTCACACAGGATGAAGCTCTATTGGTGACACGGTGTGGCCACTGTGGGAAAGTGCGGGCAGGGCTCGGAAAATCAAACAGAACTGCCATTTGATCCCGCCACTCCACTGCTGGGCGAAGTTCCGATTCACACAAAAGAACTGAAACCGGTATTCACACACCCACATTGCTCACAATGGCCAAGAGGTGGGAACCCAAGCGTCCATCGGTGCATGAATGGATAAGAGAAATGTGGCCTATATGTACAATGGAGCGTCACTCAGCTTTAACATGGAGTAAGGTTCGGGCAGCTGCCTGTGGACGGAGCTTGAGGACTTTACACCAGTGAAATGAGCTGGTCACAGAAGGACAAACACTGTGTGTTCCCACTTAAGTAAAGGACTTAAAAATAGTCAGCTACACAGGGACAGAAAGGGGAATGGAGGTGACCAGGGCTGGGGAGGCGGGAATGGGGGTTGACTGTTTAATGGGTACTGGGCTTAGGATAATGAAAAAGCTCTGGAGATGGGTGGCAGGGATGGCTGCACTGTAACGTGAATGCACTTCATGCCACTGACCTGTGCACTTCAAAATGGTTAAAACAATACATTTTATCTTATATATATTTTACCAAATTAAAAAGTAATGAATTTATGTTAAAAAAGACCCCAAAACCCTGTTGGACAGATTGTAACATGGGATCAGCCTGCCACGAACTGGGTGTGAGGTTTCAGCGGGAAGTTAGGAAGGTAAAGGGATTGTTTTGCTCCAGACCTAATCCTGACTGTGCAGAAACCCCCTGGAACCCCCCAAAGCAGAAGGAATGAGGAAAGCTTTCTGGTGGAAGGAACTCTCAGTTAACTGGGTTGGAAGGTGTCTGAGTGCCTATGATACCGTGTTCTAGCCACTCTCGATCCAGCGTTTACCACATACCAGACCAGAACTAAAACGGTCTACAGAAGCGAAGCACACTGGACTGGGTTACTCTGATTAGACTCAAAGGGGGAATCAGACACACACACTCTCAGTGCTCAGGGCAACATGCACTGGGCTCAGAATCTTCAAACTGTAGTCACGCAATGACCACACTGCACACCTTCAGTGTGGAAACACACCCCAGGCCTGAGTTAACAGCAGCCTGGCAGGGCTGCCCCTCTATTACTTGGTTCTTAGAATAGCCGCAGGGCAGCTCCTTCCTGTACCAAGCAGGACTGGACCGTGACAGCAGAGCGCCTTGGCCCGCACCTGCAGGGTCAGGGCGGCCGGGCCTCAGACCCCCAGCACACCTCCTGCTGGCTTAGACGGCCCCATCCGTCCTGGGGCGTGGGACCAGGCTCTGGCGCCCCAGGGGGAGGAAGGCCGCTGGCTCTCCGTGAGACGTGATGACGCCCTGACACGAGGGTGACTGTGCAGGTGCAGCAGTGCGGACACTCGCACGGACAGCAGGGGTGGCTCCTGGCGAGCAGGCTGTGGTACCCTGCCCAGCATGCTGCCAGGGTGCGTGAACAGGGCTGAGTGCATGCCCTGCGGCGAGCGACTCACCACTATCATGGCAATGGTGACTCTTCCCAACTCACCTTCTTTGGCATCGAACCACCGGAAGTGCCACCCCTCCTCGCCCGCTGCTCTCCACTCAGCCTTGTACTTGAGGATGGGCACCCCGCCTGTGGCCTCGGGTTCATCAAACTGCACCTGTGCTGTGCTCGAGTAGGGCTCCACCTGGTCGATGGACGGTGAGGATGGGGTGTCTGTTGGGGGGACACATATGGAGACCCAGGTGAGCCCAGCCTCAGACATGGCCCTCAATCGTGGAACATGTCTCGCGTTTCCTCTCACTCCAGGGAACGCTTCTCCCCCCTCCTGCCCTCCCAGCCCTCCTCACCGCATGATTCTGTCCTGACGCGCCCTGTGCCCATACCCTTGGGCCTCCCTGGGCCCTGCTTCCTGGCCCTACCTCCCTGTGCTCTCTCGGCATCACCGAAGGGCACAGAGCCGGCCGCAGGGGCACTCACCTGCTTGGACGAGGATGAATTCCAGAGACTCCTGCCCAACACGGTTCACCGCGGTGCAGTTATAGTTCCCGAAATCACTCTCGGAGTCTGGGGTCACCTGCAGGAAGAAGGAGCCCTTGGGCCACAAGTACCCCCTGCAGTGGCCAGTGACTCGGGTCTTCATTCATTGGATTGAATCAGTAAAGAACAGAACCAGTAAGTCATGACTCATTAGCTCCAGCCCATCTTAGACCAGAGAGAAAAAGGGCAGGAGGGCTTTTCTGCCATTTCTCATGGTGGAGAGGGTGCCCTGCCTCCCGGCCGTGACCTGGCCTCAGAAAGACAGGCGGCCGGCCTGAGCGGTTTCTCCTGCAGCCAACAGACCCACTGATCAGGACGTGCCAGAGAGGCCAGAGGGAGGGCGGCAGCTGCTTCCAGGGGCCTGTCCACGCTCGCACTGCGCCTTCTCCACCCTGCCCGTCTGTGCCCCCGCCCTCTCACCTCCAGGGAGCTGGCAGACTGGGTGTTGTAGATCTTGATGTTGCTGTAGTTGGAGCTTGGCAGCAGCTGACCATCTCGGAACCACGAAATTGTGGCACTGGGGTAGGCAAACACCTCGCAGGTGATGTTCACCTGGTTCCCCTCCCAAGTGTACACAGCCACGGGGCCCTGCAGCTTGGGGGCATCTGCAATGAATGGCAGTGCCTGTCAAGGAGAGTGCACCCATGGGGGAGCCCCGCGCCCTGCCTCCCAGCCATGAAGCAGAGCCCATGCCTGGGTGTAGCAGGGGTATGGCCGTTTCAGTGTTCGTGTGAGCCGAGTGGGGAGCCTGCCACACACGCAGGCTTGTAACGAGCCTGAGGACAGCAGAGCTAACTGGGACAGGGCTCTGAAACGCTTAGGGTCAGGAGCCACAAGGGGCTGCGTAGGGCTCATGGGGCACAGTCAGGTCCTGCGGGCTATTTCCCTCTCCCCCTACCTGCATGGCCCCTCCCTCCCTTCTCTCTCCCCACCTGCCCCTCCCTCC